GTATTTTTTTCGCGGAGCGACGATCGACCTATTTCACCTCCCCAATGGTCGAAGCGCGACTTACGTTAACAGAATAGAACGCTGTGATTGGTTGCTGACGTTCGGTTTAACGACAATCTTGTATTATTACTCAAAATTTTAGGTACCTAAAATCGTGTGACCAATGTATTTCGCTTTCTCAATTCAAAATAATTATAAGAAGATATTTTTTTGACTATTGTGTGGAAAATATATTTAATTACGATGATTTTAGTATATGTTACACACAAATTGAATGAAAATTGTGAATGCAGTAACCAAATGTTTCATTGCAACCGAAGGTGTGACACGATGAGAACGCGAAAAATCACCCCGTTTTTTATCGTTTCATGTGATTTTTTCATATTATTTTTGCTTCTATTACGATCAAATTTATTTTGTATGTAGCTAAATAGATATTTTATCATCTGATTTCAAAGTTATTGTTCTAACTTATACCGTTTATGAACTATTATCGTGTGACCATCAAATTTGAGTGTAAATGAGAAGTACCCATGAGCTAGTTTTGAACTATTTTGTACAATATTTATGAGAGAGATAATTTTATTGATTCCATGGTTTAATAGTAAATAAGATTGATTCCCAGAATCTTGGAAGTATATTTATTTTCCCATAATTAAATATGTTTACCCGTTAACTAGGCGCCAAAGTAGGTACAAACTCTGTTTGATGTAGGACTAATTTGTGTTTGGAGTAATTAGCAATTACTCACACATTTTAATGATAGAGTGATTTCGCATATGATTTGTAATTTTAATAAATATCGATATATAATGTAAACACAAGTACCTACCTTAAAATGAATAAGTAATTCAATATCAATAAATTGAATACTGTACCTGTACTGTGTATCTACATAATACAGCTGTTGTTTTAAATTCTTATAAAATATTATAAATTAAAAGTAGAGACAAATTATTCTATTTTAATCTTATTTATCTTTACAAAACAATGTAATAAGTGCTAATTTATCCACTCTATTGCTTACGAATCCTTTCGGAAGGTTCTAACCGTAAAACGTGGGGTCGCGCGTCAGTAACTAAGAGTTAGGACGACGTGTGGTCGCCATTCGAAAAAACAAAAAACTGTCCAATAGAAGAAGAACTCGCATTAGCCGCTCCCGACTCTAGCTGAGGTGGATTACAGATAATTTTGTTTGAAAACTAGTGACACACGTGCTCATTACAGTAGCGTAATAAGTAAACAAATATCTGCAATTTATCTACAATACTACTTCGAATTAGTAAATTTAAAAGTGTCTAGTTCATTGGATCCAATTAATGTTTTAAATAAAATATTCAGTAAATACATAGGTATTTATTGAATATAATCTCTGGCAAAAGAAGATGGGGCGAATTTACATAGTAGTATATCTTGTTCTAAACTCCTTGTCATTATGTAAGTCACGACCCAGATCAGAGAGATATCTCGCAATCAAATCACTTCACACAGAGAAGGCGCAATCATCGGATGTCAGATTGCAATTAGAGCGGCATACATCGAGCATCGAGGAGTTTTCCACTTTGATTGAGAGCGTCAAATTGTCGACAAGTTCTCGGCCGGACGTATCGTTGAAAATTCGACCTTTTCCGATATCAAAATTCAGCTGTCGAAATCTCAAAGCGACGTAGGAAATTAGACACCTTCCCCTAGAAACGGCCACGACGGGTGCCCTGATTACCCCGGATTAGCGTAGAACGTGTTCTCGCCCGTTGGGAGCATCCACAAACGTCGGAAATGAAACCAATTACGGCCTCACTGAAACATTAGTCCAAATATTGGAATTTAAATCGTCCCGGATCTGTAAGCCTCTTAAATAAACGTTCGGGTCTGGCCTGCGATGAATAAAAATGACGTATTCAGAAACATAGCGCTATTTGGGAACCCTTTTTATCATAAACTGAAAACAAAAACGGCTGTATCGGCAATGTGCCAAGGTGTAATAGCTATTCCAACGGAGAGTATCTTCTAGGTGTGGAATCGAAATTTCTTATTATTCGAATAACAATGACGATTTTGTAAGCTCGCTTAAGGCTGCCAAGTCGTTTTATCGCTTCAATAAGCGATCGAATCATGCAAAATTATTTCCAATAAAGCTTACGCTATCTTTTTTCTTAATCACTACTTGGTAAAATATTTTTTAGATATTGAGAAAAACATTTGATGTTATCGCACACTGTAAATACACAAAAATGCCCAATTTAATGCCTTTTAACGTTCCACAGCGTCTTAGAAGCCGACGCGAAAGGAGCAATCTACTTGACGACTAAAAATGGAACATTTCCAATAACGCTGACATCCTTGAAGTCTCGCGACGGCACTATAGCGGAAGGCACTCCGAAGATTTTATCCGCGGCCACTAAAAACGTTTCCCGCGACGACAGCGACGACTACTGGGACACCAGTTCGCAGGAACTCTTGCTCTCGAATTATATTAACGACACGTACGACTCGATAACTAACGATGCTTGGAGGAGGAACGCGAAGAGGAGCATCAACGACGCGGTGTCCAAAAACATTACTCTGGTTTTAGAGAATCTGCTGAAGAATTACGAGAACTCTCAGCTGCCGACGCATGGAAAAGGTATTAGATTAATGAACATACTTTTAAATTAATTAATTATGAAATGTATTTTGTGGAAGTTCATAATTTTTGTAGCAATTACTTTCCTTCTATGGTAAATCACGCTTTTTCATTTTTACGCCCTGAATATTGTTTTAGTATAGGTACTACCTACATACAAGCAGCTATAGCAATTAGGTATTGTTTTGTGCAAGAATAATCCTCGATTTGCACTACTATAAAATTACCTAATAGACAAAATCATGATAACTTTTCCCATTAGCGACCCCTAAGACTGAATGGTTCCAAATGCACATCGCACACTGGAAGCGCAGCGTGAAATTACTGCCTGCTCGTTGAACGGACGACCTGATAAAGGTTGTTTAGGTGCCTAGTGAATGCCGGCCGGGATCGCTACCGATGGAGATCAATGGGCCTATGCTTGGCAGTAGACAATACTAAATGGAAATTATGATCATGGTAATGTGTAAATATAATTGTTTTAGGATACCCTACCGTAGTCCAGACGAACATCTTGATAAGGAGCATGGGACCTGTGTCTGAACTGGATATGGTAAGTGCTGACTTAAATTTATATAATCTACATTTTTTATTTTCTATGTTATTGCTGTTTTGTGACTCTATTATACTTACTTGTAAAATAGGGATACAAAATACATTAATAATAAACCACAATACCAAACACATCATAACGCATAGTTGTTCGCAATGTTATGCAATATATTATACGTCAATATTGCCTATCCATTAAGTAGCTTTCCACTTTTAAGACTAATATATACGAATATTAAATACGATGTTTTGCTCTCAATATTAAATACGATCGAAACAACCATTTTCCTCTAATGTGTTTCATATGATGTCATTACGGATGAAAACATCTATGTTCCCTCAGGATTACTCTATGGACTGCTACTTCAGGCAGTACTGGCGGGACACGCGACTCTCGTTCCTCGGGCCAATCCGCTCTCTGTCGCTCTCTATTAAAATGCTCGAGCGCATCTGGCGGCCTGATACGTACTTCTACAACGGGAAGCACTCTTACGTACACACCATTACTGTTCCGAACAAGCTGCTGAGAATCAGCCAGCATGGCGACATTCTATATTCGATGAGGTAAGATTCAGTTTCACTTTTAATGCCTAAAATGTGATGTGCGTGTCTAGATGTAAGTTAATTTATTACGGATAAATAAACTGAAAATCGCACGCTACGATTTCTTTTTAATCATAATTTGGTCGTAAAATATCTTAAAACCAAACCATCACTCATTACGGCGTAGTATAAGTTTCAAGCTCTTAACAATGTTACTGGATGAAAAACTTGTTACAGCGGCGACAAACTTAAAAGGTATTTGTCTTATAGTTGTGCGAGACTCTCAGAACTTCGCGTTTGCTATTTTTCTATGACGATAATAATCTTAACTGAAGTTTTTTTCAGAGATAATAAGTAGATGTAGTTAAAATAATGTTACGTGGCTCTAAAAAATATTGGACGACGAAAGATTTCCCTTCGTGTATTAAGTTATAGAATGATATTAAGTCTATGCTATATTTTCCCAAACTAGCTTTCAACTCGTATATTAATATTGCCACACATATGGAACACTTATTATCTACATGGAGACGCTACATAAGACTCTTTTTCATGGATAGTGTGTTGCAAGGACGCAGCCTGAGGCTAAACACAGAACAAAAGAGAATCGTGTCAGGCAGCTAACTACGAGGGGACAATACATGAGAGAATGCGTGAAAAATATAACTCGATGTGTTCGATGGTTCCCTTTGCAAAATGCTAGAGCTCAAACTTTTATGTGGTACCTTCCTACAAGTATAAAGCCCTTTCCCTCAGAGCTAATCTCCATAAATGACTATTCAGCGGTAGATGGAATCTTTTTTTATCTTTCAACAAATAAGAGGAGGAGATAGAACTTGAAAATATTTGATGAAGTCTAATAATATTTGCGTGAGAGTATAAACCATGAATAGATACTATAAATACATAGGTAACACAAAAGCTATTCCATGATAACTAAAGGCAAAAATAAGTGATTTAAATATGTAGAATATATTAGATTATAAAGCAATGCATGACATTGTGTGCATAGTTAGTAACCAATTTCACAAGCCTGATTACCCAATAAATGTTATGTGAGGGAAAGTTCATTAATTTCGTAGTAAAGCAAACACGGAGTCCCCCATTTTTAATTGGCAGAGTGAAAAATGTGCGCTCCGATTACCCAGCCCTGGCATTCATTGGACGCAAATTGCCATGGATATTCTTAAATTAACAACAAACTCACTTGCCTTGTGATAAATTGAAGTTATTAATCAAAAGTTCCAGTAATAAATGTAAAAACAAAAGAGCAATAGATGGATAGCCATTTCTCGCGGTTTTTATAATGAAAGGCAACGTTTAACTTGAATATTGTTGTATGTGATGTAGTAATTTTAAAAAAAGTCTTTATAATTTAGACGTTTGTTAATTATTTATTTATCTACATACTTACCTAAGTTAAAAGCTCTGGGTAAAGCTAAAACTTTAGAAACGAAAAATAAAGAGAAAAATCAAGGTTTAAATGATGGTCAACCGATCTAGCTTCCTAATCCCAATTATACCTATTTATTATAATCAGCGGTCCCGGATTCTAATCCTACCTGTGTCTGTCTGATGAGCACAAACAATTTGTATTCGAGCCATGGATAGTAGTTTCCTATGAATGTTTATAGGTACGAGCTTTCACTCTGAAACCGGTTTGATAAATTAGATTTATTTAAGATATTGACTTGTCCTTGCGGATTTGCTGTATTAATAATTTAGCAATTAGGTACCTCACTAAAAGTTTTGGAAATGAAGACACTTCTCGGGATTTGTAACAATAATGATGATAGACTCGTAGTCAGGTCTCTTAATAGTATGCAAATCAACTTTATAAGTTAAATGAAGACCGACATCCCGGCTGAAATAGAGGTTAACATTGATTTAGCCACAAATTCTGAGTGCGATGAGAGGGAACCTTGTGGGAGTATCCACCCTCTATAATGGCTAATGGATAATTAAAACAACTTTTATTGTTCGCCTAACAACATAAACTGAAGTTTAAAATCAACCATACACTTGAGGTAAAAAGGATAAGTAAGTAGGTATGTGTAAGGTACGTTCGAAAAGTTGCAATTAGATTAAAATACCTGTTTAAATTTGGGCAGCAGCGCTCTCTGAAAAACATCAATCTTTTAAACTGCGATCTCCAACCCGCCTGCCAAGCGTGGAGATTATGGCAAAACCCTCCACTACAGTGGAGGAGGCTCATAGTCCAGCAGTGGACTGTAAAGGGCTGTTGATGATGACCTGTTTAAATTTATAAAACGGCTACCAACCGGACAACATGGAAAGCATTGGGGGAGGCCTATGTTCAGCAGTGGATGTCCTATGGCTGAGATGATGATGATAATGATGAAATTATTAAAAAAAACTCGGTTTGTCTCTTTTATAAACCAGCGAGACTCCTGCTAACTAGGAAGAAACTTCTCTTTCACATGGTTTTGCCTAAACTCATTTCTAGTTAGAATTACCTAAGTGCCGGAACTGTTAACTAGTTTTACTGAAAACGTCCTAGACTAGTGCACATTCACTTAGCGAAGTGCAAGTTCCAATCAGCTGTTAATCGGTTTAGTTCAGGCGCTGATCGCTCTCTCCTGAATTCTCCTGAACGCCAAACTGAACGCGTCCTTGCTAAATCTCTGCCAATGGCGTTTTCTCACCATGCAATGTGATACGATGTACACATACGGTGCTTAATTGTCCTAGTCACAAAAAAAACAAACATCTATGTATTTGTTTCTTCGAGAGCCGAGAGCAATACAGTATTTTATTACATAGAATAGAAAGAATATAATAATTGTTTATTTGCATAAAACATGGTACACAGTTGTTACAGCTATAAAATAAGTCCACATCGGTAGCATAATATAGTCGTCAGTCATGATGCGGACTTTTAAATAAAATGCGGACTTTTAAATAAAATGTATTTTATTTAAAAGTCCTATTATGTCTGACAGATAAGGTCCCATGAGCACGTAATTAGGTTTCTGTTAAAAGCAAATTACCCAACGTTAATCAAAAATGGCTCAGGATAGCCGCTCGCCCGTATCTACACTAAACTTTGCATATTTTGCGTAGATTAGTTAAATTTTCTTTGGATTACTTCAAAATTTGGGCAAAGTAATAAATCAAAACATGTAGGGAAACTTCAAAAGGTAAATCTTAAGTAACTTTCAGATTTATTTATAACTTATCATGAGCAGGTTGTATACTGACCGCGATTTTTTTGTAGGATACCTATTAAAGTAGCTTGATATTAAATCAAATTTGAATTGTCCATTAAATTACAAATGTATAATTAAAAACGAAATATATAATTGCTAATTAATATTTAGAATTTAATTGTGAATGGTCATTCTTACTTGATGCCTTCCCAGTACCTTCAAACTTCCATGTAGCTACGAAGTCATATGCGCTACGAAGCGTTACGAGGAACTCTACGAGAGTATCACGTTACGAGTGTCGATATGCTACGCCGTATCTGCTACGAGGTTACAATTTCAAAGCTCGTGAGACCGAAACCAGTTGATCATTGATGTAATCATATATTTAGTAGGTACCTATATGAATAGTGATAAAGAAAATATATTGGAGACAAATTATTAATCAATTTGCTTATTTTTGACGGTACATTTAATGTTTGTTGTCTGCAGACTAACAATCAAAGCGAAGTGTCCTATGGAGCTACGCAACTTTCCCATGGATCGACAATCATGCCCTCTAATCCTTGGCAGCTGTGAGTATTTAAAATTACAACTGAAACCTTAATTGTCATTTTACTTTTAGTTTGTACTTTTAATAAGGACTTGAATCATTATCGTCAGTAACACAACAACGAATTATTAGGAATCTAAGCTACAACCATTAAAATTAAAAAGCACTTCTTGAAGGTTGTTTGTTCTCGAGCATTCTCACTTTAGAAAGCATGCTTAACGAACTAGTTATCTATATCATATAGATATATCTATATATATAAAAGAAAGTCGTGTTAGTTACACCACTTATAACTCAAGAACGGCTGAACCGATTTAGCTGAAAATTGTCAGGGAGGTAGTTTAGAGCCAGGAGAAGGACATAGGATACTTTTTATCCCGTTCGAAATTAAAAAAAAGTCTGCTTATTTATTGCCATTAAGGCGGAACAAAGTTCGCCGGGTCAGCTAGTTTTAGTATAAAAGATAATACTTTTTATATTATGTGACTTTATTTTTAATAGATGCCTACTCAAACCAGCAGTTGGTATACCAGTGGCAGAATTCTGAAAGCGTGAACTTCGTTCCCGGCATGACACTCTCCCAGTTTGACCTCATCAGCTTTCCTTATAGAAACTTCACCTTCACCAGGAGAGAAGGTAAGATAACGCTGACACTTCAACACACGCAACAAATAAAGAGTCATATCTTTTAAAATATCTGGATTATGCTGTAATGAAAATAATGTTTTGGCTAGACATGTTTAAAACACAAAATAAATTTGAATTTATGAAATTATACATTACACTAGCAGGCTCACGCAAGTGCTTATATATACTTCTCTTCCTTACACATACTTAAACTTGTAAGACATTTGAAAAGGAGTTATAATGCTTATAGGTGCTCATGTCATTGAAGTTTTTGCATGCTAAATCTACCCATTGTAGCCCATATTGTTCATAAAATTCCGTTCGCAATGTATGTCCGGGGTTAATAGAGCGTCTCTCTCCTACATCATATTAATTACCTACGACGAAGTTCTATTCATTTAGCAAGAAAGTTTGTTCGGTACAAACAAAACCAACCGCCATTATTACTTCGCCTGTACAAACAAAGAGGATTTTTTCTCGCTTATGATGTCTTCCTAACACTCAAGTGTCCGACGATAAGTAACATGATTTTAGGTAGCTCTTAAGGTTTATATCTTGAAATTAACTTAAGTAATGAAGGTATTTTTGATGTCTTTTTAAAATGAGTAAATATTATTTACAGATGAACTGATTTTGAGGATTAAAAACAATTAACGCCATGGTTTGAATAACGTACCCGTATGTTCAAACTATAGACCAGATAATAGTCATCTTCAACTCCCAATCAATCTACCGCTCGAGCCCCAGACAATGGACAACCTTTACCTACACTCGCTGGGTAAATGTTTAGCCAATTCAATTAATTGAAAGACAGGCCCGCTCTTATGTACACGAGCTATGTACCTTACTTAAAAGGTACTTCGAGACATTCTTAATTATATTCTAAGAAAACTTGAAAAATGTGTTAACGCTATCAATATTGGAGGCGGGCGAAAGCTCTCGAGTTGCCGCCGAGCGCTCTCATAACAGCTTTCATCTCCACTAATCACTAGCGCGGGCCCCGGCTTTATCCGCTTACAGCTTAATGTGATTTCCTATACGCGCCCAGATATGGAAATATTATAGAACATATTACCCAAATGTGTTTTATAGGGAGGCGTAATGTTGTTACCTACGGGTAAGTAGGAAAATCTTATGTAGCGTTCGTAATTATGTCAAAAGCAAAGTGGAGGATCGGGCATAAATAATATGATAATGACCTCTCCCTCGCTCTCTTTTTCCTACTTTTTTTTTCTTGAAACGTAACCCAAAAATACCTTAAAGCCCCGTGAAATTTCCTATGCCACTTACAAATCTTTAAAGTGATATATGAAAAGATAAGTTCTCTTTTTATTTTAGTAGGTAAAATCGGTCCGTTCATGACATAATGTATTAGTGGCTTTTCTAAGTACTATCATAGTTTAATAATGAGTACCTATTGCATACTCATAAAAGGAGGTACTTACCTACTACTTGTTTCAAAATATACCACCTACCCACTCAACTAAAAACTTCTATAGTCTTTGCACTCAAGCCGTGAAATGTATGTCTTAATATCGTCTTACCTATTCATTCGTAATATTCGTAAGTGTTCCAAGATCTAACATCTCTCGTTTATCGAAAATTCCAACGTCACATTTATCGTGCTTATCTCAAATCGCCTCCGAAAATAGACCTCAAATGGTTTCCTTCAAATATGATTTGCTTTTTTCGCGTCAGGAGCACATAAAGCAATATCAGACAAACAGTAGGTAGGTATCAAAAATCGCGATCCTCGGCCTGGCTCGATGACACGAATCGGCTTTTACGCATGAGATATCAACATTTGCTAAAACGGTTCACTGAATGTCTTATGAAATGGTCAATGATTTATAGAATCTATCAAACCCGATAAAACGAATATTCATTCACTGAATGGTCAATAAATGTTCGAATGGTCATACAATATTCTAGATAAAAAACAATTTATTAATTTAAGAGCATATTAATGATTTGGTATGTATTGTACTGGGAGGTAGGTAATTTATTTAGTTTTTAAATTATGAAATAACTTACAGGTTTACCTGCTTGTGCAAATCATTGTGATCTTTCGGTTAGTTCGTCAGTAAGACATCGGATGCCTTCTCTGTTCTAGGGGATTTCTCAGTGCTCCAGGTGTCGTTCAACCTGCAACGGCACACGGGTTACTTCCTCATCCAGGTGTATGTGCCCTGTATCCTCATCGTTGTACTCTCCTGGGTGTCCTTTTGGATTCATCGTGAGGTAAATAAATGGCTTTGCATTATTATTTTATTTCATTATTGATTTTATTATGTTAATCATCGATCATAGATAAGTAAGTAAAACAAGTGCAATAAAGAGTAGATATCTATCTGTGGTGTCTTTGACTTACTACATATAAGGTAACTCTTGTCGCTCTTCTTTTCGCTAAGCTGATACTATTTAAACGTGATGTTACTGTGAGCCTTGGTAGCCGTTCCTTACTACACACGTGCTTCTCTCGGTTTTCGGGTACAAGGAATCGCTTTTAGGCCTAAGTTGCAATGGTGATTGACCTGTGGCATGGACTAATCCTGTGGGTGTGTAACACGCAGCACGATTGGTGCGGATTTTACCTACTTACTTACTTAGTTAAAGTTCAAAATTACACGCAGCTCAATACCGAGTTCGTGCAAGATGCAGTTTCCTTATCTAAATCTGACCGATGTTAACCAAATCTTAACAACAAATTACCCTGAATTGTTAAAACATCCTCTCCTAGCCTGAAATTACGTGCCTATAGTGTCTCTACACCTACATAATTAAATAGTCCTTGCAAGAGAGTATGATGGGGATTTCTATAATCCGACCGAAAGAATGTAGAGTCCCAAATCGATTGTAACAAAAACTTTATACACATATTACTANTTATGTAACTAAATTGTACTGCTCCTATTATCATGTTTGTCTTGTCAGGCAACGTCAGACCGAGTGGGCTTGGGCATAACCACTGTCCTGACGCTGTCCACCATCAGCCTGGACTCACGGACCGACCTGCCCAAGGTGCGGTACGCCACGGCCCTCGACTGGTTCCTACTCATGAGCTTCTTCTACTGCATCGCCACGCTGCTGGAGTTTGCTGGGGTGCACTATTTTACTAAGGTAAGTACCTAAAGTTAACGAATGGATGCAGCCTTTTTGTTACATAAATTGATCATGTTTTTTTTTTTTTTTTCAGAAATAGGTAACTTTTACTATGGGAACAGCACCAAATTATTGTCAATATTTATTGCGTTTATTTACGGGCAGAAAATTTAGTTACGTTGCGACTCTACTTTTTCATAAGCAAAGTACGAGTAGCTATCGTGAAAGTCAACCTGTTTCCTTAGATTTTTAGACAAACGTAAAGGAATCATATAGCTCCAAAAGCTTTTTAGGCAGTTATTTTTAAAGAATTTTTCCTTCTGGCTTTGATGATTGATATAAAATTAACTGATTTCAGACAGGAAACTGTATATTTTATTCTAGGTCGGTTCAGGTGAGATAGTGATAGACGATTCGGAATGGGAGGAGCTGATAGAGGAGGTGGGGGGCGACGCGTTCGCGGCGCGCCAGCTGGCCGTGCGCCGGCGCAGCTCGGCTCGCTCCGTCACCAACTATGTAAGTCAGAACTACTTACAGTTACACTGTTTGTAGAAGAAACTTCATCAATACCAATTGATAGTGCAGAGTCACTAAAGTTTGAAAATTAGAAACGTTTAAAACGTCTAGCGCATAACCAGTCAGTGACGGTATGGGAGCGACACGGGAGTGTTTTGTATCGTCAAACATCAGCGAGACTTCAGATCTCCTTCTGTTTTTTTAAATAAATATCCTTGGACATTTTTCACTGCGCCGCTAGTCCCAAACTAAGCAAAGCTTGTACTATGGGTACTAGACAACGGATATAAACATACTTAAATACTTTTTTTTGTAAATACATACATATTATACATAGAAAACACCCAGACCCCTCACAGAAATTAAAATTCATCATTTCAATTTCTGCCCGGCCGGGAATCGAACCCGGGACCTCTCGGCATAGTAGTCCGTTCTGAACCACTACACCAAACGGCCGACGAACGATTTATATGCTCTGTCACGTTTTAGTGCCAGTGTCACCCCTCCCGTGGCTGCCCATACCTCATGCACTGACTGCGCCAGACCTTTTATTAGTTTAAGATAACGATTTATTCTTTTTTACTTTCACTAATACCTAGTTATCTCTATTTACTTAACTTCAACGTCAGTAAATATTCGCGTCTTTCCAGAGCTTCTCCTTACCAGCGGCGAGCCACGAAGACGGCGGCGCGTCCCCGAGCTCGCCGGCAGGCGGCGGCGCCGTGCGGCTCACTATGGAGCGCACAACGCAGACCGAGACCCGCGTGCCGCGCTGGCGCCAGCTATTGTACTGCCTTGCTGGAGATGACCGCTACCGCCGCCAGAGACAGCTGGAAGCGGGTACGGACCACGTGACCTACTTCTATGTAGATGGTGCGGCGCACTATGGAGCGCACCACGCAGACCGAGACCCGCGTGCCGCGCTGGCGCCAGCTATTGTACTGCCTTGCTGGAGATGACCGCTACCGCCGCCAGAGGCAGCTGGAGGCGGGTACGGACCACTTGACCTACTTCTATGTAGATGGTGCGGCGCACTATGGAGCGCACCACGCAGACCGAGACCCGCGTGCCGCGCTGGCGCCAGCTATTGTACTGCCTTGCTGGCGACGACCGCTACCGCCGCCAGAGACAGCTGGAAGCGGGTACGGACCACTTGACCTACTTCTATGTAGATGGTGCGGCGCACTATGGAGCGCACTACGCAGACCGAGACCCGCGTGCCGCGCTGGCGCCAGCTACTGTACTGCCTCGCTGGCGACGACCGCTACCGCCGCCAGAGGCAGCTGGAGGCCGGTACGGACCACTTGACCTACTTCTATGTAGATGGTGCGGCGCACTATGGAGCGCACCACGCAGACCGAGATCCGCGTGCCGCGCTGGCGCCAGCTATTGTACTGCCTTGCTGGCGACGACCGCTACCGCCGCCAGAGACAGCTGGAAGCGGGTACGGACCACTTGACCTACTTCTATGTAGATGGTGCGGCTCACTATGGAGCGCAACACGCAGACCGAGACCCGCGTTCCGCGCTGGCGCCAGCTGCTGTACTGCCTCGCCAAAGACGACCGCTACCGCCGCCATGGACAACAAGGGGACATTGTGCCGAAGATCGTCTCACGCAAACTGAGAATCGCCATAGTGGCGCCATAGGTAGTCGCTCTACTGCTAGAGGCAGCTACAACGACGTTCATGAGTACCTACATCGTGATGTCATCTTGACGTTCATGAGTATGGGCCACTTGACCAACTTCTTCACGTACCAAGACTGCGAAACAATGTGCCTGACGGTACGGTCAGGCTAACTCTACCATAACAAAAATAGCAATAGGAAACCAGTATCCCCCCACCTAATTAAACGATTTTCACCTTAATTGACGAATGGCACCCTTGAGAATTGAGTTAATTTATACACGAAAATCTTTTTGTAAACATCTTGTAAAATTAAATTCTAATCTGATTTCCCTGAAGATGATTAGAACGGCGTTTACCCGTGGTCCCCCCAACATGTCCCCCTGGTGGGTCCACGGGTAATTTTTTTTACCCGTTGTCCCACCGTTCTGAACAGTTTTTGCCAGTGGGTCTACGGGTAATTTATTTTAACCATAGTCCCACCGCACAGTGGTAAACGTTGCATGTCACAAAAATCGATAAAATAAAATAGAAAGTCTATTCTTTTTTACATCAAGTTTAATTAAAAAATAATTGGAAATAAAATAAAATAAATTTTCTTCTTGGAATAAAATTGAAAGTAAAGGATGATGGGCACAAATGTATGGAAAGTGGTACCCGCTCCAATAGCCATAACCAATATATATTTCAAAAGGCCTTTAGATGTAGGAAAATGTCTGCTATGGGGCCAGTTCTTATTATATTCACGTTTTGAAAGCAGTAATACCACTAAGTATTATCGATAGTGGAAATATCAATTACTGTAAGGGACAAAACACGACTTTTCAGGAGAGCCAAAAAACGATTTTTTTTTTCTTTATACCTCAATATCTTTTTATGTGATGTTACGATTTAAATAGTTTCTATGGCAAAGTTTCTTAGAATTTTCTGTTCTTTCATAATATAAACGCCAAATTTTCGAAAAATGGGTAGTTTAAAAGATAGCATGTCCCTTACATTAAAAAAAACGAGCTTGACTGTACCTTACAATGTTGAAATTTCACAGTATGGAATGTCGTGTATGTTGTAAGGTACATTTAAGAATAAACACGACAGTAATATTATTGTAACTTGACAATTTTAACATTGAAACCTGATGTAAGTAGAGGTTGCATTCGAGTATTCATTAATAAAACGAAGAGAAGAGATAGAAACAAGACAACTTGGTGTTCACAAATGCAGTTGGAGGCATCAAATACACATCACCAACAAAACATTTAGTCACTGATGATGCCTACGTCTGCATTTGTGAACAAGTTGTCTTGTTTCTATCTTTTTCTGTTCATTTTTACGCAGTTAGGTTTTTTTTTAGATCATCGTTCGTTCGTTTTAGCCGAATGACGTCCACTGCTGGACAAAGGTCTTCCCCCAAGGATTTCCACAACAACCGGTCCTGCGCCGCCCGCATCCAGGCACCTCCTACAACCTTCACCAGATCGTCGGTCGACCTAGTGGGGGTCTGCAGCACATTACGTCTTCCAGCTCGTGGTCGCCACTCAAGAATTTTTCTGCCCCAGCGGCCATCAGCTTTGCAAGCTACGAGCTCCACCCACTGCCACTTGATTTTAGCGATTCTGCGGACTATGTCAGTCACTTTGGTTCTCCTGCGGATCACGTCATTTCTGGTTCAATCACTACGAGCATAGCACCGAGACCCGCGTGCCGCGCTGGCGCCAGCTATTGTACTGCCTTGCTGGAGATGACCGCTACCGCCGCCAGAGGCAGCTGGAGGCGGGTCCGAACTCTTAACCAACCTCTAGACTAGCAAGATGGTGCGGCTCACTATGGAGCGCACCACGCAGGCCGAGACCCGCGTGCCGCGCTGGCGCCAGCTATTGTACTGCCTTGCTGGAGATGACCGCTACCGCTGCCAGAGGCAGCTGGAGGCGGGTACGGACTCTTAACCAACTTCTACACTATGTACTACGTCTAGCACAGAGTGCTACCATGGAGACAGGGGGGCATTGTGCCGAAGATCGTCTGACGCAAACTGAAAGTCGCCATAGATGCGCCATAGGTAGTCGCTCTACTACTAGAGGCAGCTGAAACGAATATGGGCCACTTTACCAACTTCTTCACGTACCAAGACCCCCCGGGGGGATCCCCCCCCCCCCCCCCCCGTCACAAGTCCTATGGCACCCCCTGGTATCTTTCGGTTACCAACCGANACCCACCAGGGTGACATGTTGGGGGGACCACGGGTAAACGCCGGAAATTTATATTGTACGAGAATCAAACGATTAGCTGACACTCAACAACCTCATAATCGCAGTTCGGATGAAGACTGAACGACTTTTTTACTACTGAAATACACTTGCAATAGGAGCTAGGGGACTAATAATATCACTATCAACCAATGGCATTACACGGCCATTGGCACGATCTCCCTAGTTTCATCCAACAACTTGACATCCTCGGTCCATCGAACATGGATCCATCCCTATCCTATCTCCGACCCTGCTAACTACGTATATTGTAATTTCCAGGCAGTCGTGGCCACATCAACAGCGTGTCGCACATCGACAGGGCTGCCCGAGTGCTGTTTCCTGCTTCGTTCGCGCTTCTCAACCTGTTCTACTGGATGATCTATGCGTTCTCCAGTGCCGACTTTGCTTGGAGCGACAACCCTATCAATACCCTTTCTCATTAATTGGGATTAGGAATGTTTTAATTGTCAATAAGGTTCAAAATAGTAGTAGTAAACTATATTCCGCATTTGCGACTTCCGTGAAAAATAAGGAAAATCACGTGAGAACTATTATGTAATTTAAATTAATGAAATTATTTACTAAAGAATAATAATAAAATAATAGTGACATACTTTATCTTGTTCTTATCTACCAGGTAATCTAGAGATAATTAAAATAAAACTCGACAATCGTGAATCTATTTTGTTTTTAATTACGGAAAAAGTGAAAAATGAAATAGAGACAGTCCATTGAGCAAGGTAATGCACGTTTAGAAAAAACTATATTAGCTTTTACCGAGGAACATTATTTAAAGAGTTGCTGAAGACTACTGTGCCTACTAAGTACACTACTAAAGTAGACTGAATGTGGAGAATTAGACCATTCGCGTAAGATTCTTTAGTCATTTGTTTTTAGGAATGCAACAAAACGGCATTCTCAATATTCAAAAGCTTTCACATAAAATATTTACAAGTACAAAAGGTTTTTGCGCAATATTGGTACGTGTATCAGTAAATAGGAATGGTAGGCTAAGTCTTGCATGGCACTGATTTCAAAAGGCCTCTAGCCTCAAACAGTAATCATTCAATTTTAAACTAATACATAGGTACAAATAGCAGTCACTTTCAAGCACACTACGATTTCAAAATACTATATAAATATTCGTACATTTAATTAATAGGTCTCTCAATATTTCGCTGAGAATAAATAATAAATATAATATTTCCCATTTTCGATTTATTACAATATCTTCGTTTTGATTTAAATTACGTACAACATAAATTAACATCAAAACCACGTACAACTATATACATTTCAATAAATAAAACTGTCCATAACTCGTACACACAAACAGAAAAAATAATAATAGGGGTTACAAAAGTAACATTATTAACATATCAGAAATTATAACAACTTGACTATAAAATAGACGCATGCTTAATTCATGATAAAATAAAATTCAAATAAATAAAGGTATACATTTTACATAACATAATTTGTTTCAAACAAGCTGGCTTAAAGGACTCAAAATTACATCAGTATAGTAACTTACAAATACGTTCGTATAATTCTTGTATTCCAAAAAACACTAATCACAATTGAAACCATTTTCTGTTCCCTGTTGTAAAAAGAGTAACTTTATGTTCACATTGCTACAACCAAGTTTGCCCAGCAAGTATCAACGTGAATATAGCCTAAATCAAACAACCATATATTAGCGAAACCTTATCATTTCTATCTTTTAAACGGCCCTTATAAATGTTTCCATTACACCAGGTCGATTGAAACAAATTATATTTACACATAGATATAATTAATATAAGTAGGATATCACAATTTATTCAAAAAGGGATAAAAATCGGAATACATAATTAACTATAAGAGAGCTTATAATATTACACCTGATTTGGTCCAATATTCTGTAAATAGTCCATTATCTATTATTTATGAAAATGCCAATTTAAAAATTTCATCTAGATTATAAAATAGACATTTTGAAGGCAATAGTTTAAATACAAGTGGAATGTATAAGGCTTTCGTCATAAGTTTGAAGATCACCGTTCATGTCAGAGAATAATGCATTCTAATTTACTTTAGGTACAAATCTTTTAGATTTAGTAACTTGGACAATCTAACTAATTGGTTATTTAGAATACACAATAGTAATTAAATGCGTAGCAAATTCTAACAATGTTTGCCTTGGCTGCAGCACTATTTAATCTATGCAATTAACACAATTACCTTGTCATAAAAACTAGATTTATATTATAAGAAGAATCTTTTAATGGAATAAGATATTATAAAAAGCATTGAGTCATGTTTAGTTAATGAGTTCCAACCAATGTTTACTGTTAATAACTTCATTTACAAATGCTGACTGGCTCTACTATGCTTTTTATAACAATATTCTATAGACATAAATCTAGCTAAAAGATCAATGGTCAAAAATACATAGATTACAATGAAATTGTGCTCTTTCAACAATATATTTTATGCAAGCAGTATATTTGTGCATGTATTTATTTTATTTTAAACTAAAATCGAAGGACGCGACAACACTAAGAAAAGTAACAAAATGGGTCAAAGAATAAAATATTACTCACACATCGACTACGAATAACTATTGGGTACAAATTTCAAACAACTATCAATACCTTACACATTATTACGTACAGTATGGTTGTTAGTCCAAATCTACCAACTACAAAATTTTAGTACCAATGTATTCGTTTATGCATATTCAATTGTATGTATAAATAAATATGTACTTATATCATAATTATGTACTTATAACCTGATATAATTTGCTATTCCCAAATGGGTCAATATTAATTTTTATATACAAAATATATCTTTTATGAATAACATTACAGAAAAGTGTATATTCGAATATATACAAATCACTGAGGTGGTCTAATCTTTGCACAATAATAATATAATATTTTTGTGAACACTGCCTTCTCATGACTTATAACATTTACCATTTTAGACATGGAAAGCTTCATTATATTCAAAATGTTAATTTACAGAAAAACTAGACCACCACGTCATAAATTTCAATTGAGACTAGAGCACTGGTCACAGGTTTAACGTTATCAAATAGGCAAGGAGATTTAGCACTTTCTTCTAATAATATTACTACAGAACTTTTCAATAATTACATGTATACTTTCTATTCTTACCTTGCTAGAATAAAAATAAATTAATAATATACATTATGAGCCTTACAACACAGAGTATTTCTTCAAGCTTTTACTTCTACAATAATGCACTGCACACAATAAATAGGGTTCTTTACATTTATCAATACAATATATAAAATATAAATCACAGATTCTATGTTTCATACGAGCGATTTTACTATCTATGTTTCCTTCTTTCCGACTACCAGGTAAACGTTCATGTTGTCTTTGCCTTTGACATAGACGCTGCCTCGTTGCTCGAATTCGTACCTATTGGACAAGACAGGGATACACGACTCGCCGACTTGGATGCGTTTCACCACGCCCGTAGAGTCCATCCTAGACGCTATGTTCACCGCGTCGCCCCAGATATCGTAGTACAACTTGGTAGTCCCTATCACACCCGCCGTCACGTCGCCATAATTAAAACCGATCCTGAGTATGAAATCGAATTCCAACAAATCTTGATTGAAATTATCAACCACCTTCTGCATTTCTAAAGCGAACTCCATCAACTGGTACAAATGATCGTGCTGGTCGTCCGAGACTTGCCTCAGATCGGGGTTGAGCCCGCTAGCTGCCATAAACGTGCTGCCTATAGTTTTAATTTTCTCTACATGTTGAAACTCCGGCCTTTCTAACAACTCGTCGAAGTCCGCTATCAGTTCGTTGAGTACTCTCAAGTACTCCTTACCCTTCAAATAAGACTCATCGTACATTTCATTAAAATTCACTATACTGGCAAATATTATACCGGCGTCCTTATGATTCTCGGAATATTTAGCAGTGTTTTTGAGTTGATCTGCCACATGTCGCGGTATAATGTTGTGCAGCAACCAATCCGCCTGATTCCTCATGTTTTGCACTCTCTGTTTGTCACGATTCGCGACGACATTACTGTAAAAGCTTAAACGATAACTAATTTCAAATTCCCTGTTCAAGAACCAGACCAGCATTAACAACAAAGCTACATCTAAATAAAGTTCCGTTAAATGCAATTCATGCTGTCCGTAACTCACGCGATCCACGCTGCTATTACCTTGAAACCAATCTTCGGAGGAATCATTCGTTATATTATTTACAAAAGAAGAGAAATTCGCGAACTTTGGATTTATAATATCACCTATAATTTGAGTATTAGAGTCGGGACAGCCGAGCACGGCGAGGAATAGAAATAAACCAGCATAAATCGTAACTAGAGTATTTTTCACAAGCCAACACATCTGGGTGAAGTTGCAGAAGTGCACTATGCTCAGGCACAGCAGATAAACGTAGAACGACTGCTCTCCTTTCAAAATTACTAACGTCGTATGATTACATGAGAAGTTTATAAGGACGGCTAAAATAGGTAAACTTATCAATAGACTGCCAGATAGATGCCACGGATACCAATTGGACAGCTGCCTAAATATTTTAACAGACTTCCTGATCGTGTCTGTAATGTGAGGTTCGTTTTTCGTCTTCCACTTTAGGTAATGTCTGTAGATACAGAGGGAGATAGCTGTGATTTCAATTAAAGCTAACAGGGCGAACCACCCCGCGGAGAATCGCCACTCCCCGTACAATACGAATACTGAAATGGTCACAGCTAAGAATATGATCATGGATACAAGTATATCTAGAGCGGTGTTGAAGCGAGACGTGGTGAGTGTGGGGGGGAAGTCCTCGGTGTCATCGCTCCTGTGGGCTCTGTCCCTGTAGTGTTTTTCCATTTCGTCGGATTTGAAGGAGAGGGTGAATCTGTTGAGGGGCCTTTGGACAAAATAGTTGACTCCTGACCTGGCGTTGTCCTGGACGCAGCGGATGAGTTGGAGGTCTGATTGCTTGCGTAGTTTCTGGAGGGACTGCACTTGCTGGTCGTTGAGGGGGGCGGGCAGGCGGGCGCGGGAGGGCTCGTTCAGCGACGACTGGCTGGAGGTGTAGTAGCCCGACACGCGGTGCTGCATCATGTCCGCCTGGGACGTGGCAAGCGCTGCGTGGTTCAACGCGAATATCTAGGGAACCACAATAATTATATTTAATATCCTATTTATTAGCACGTTAACATTAGGCGGTTATCACACTGCGCCGCGCTCCGGGGCGACAGATTTAATCATTGTATGCAAGTACCTCAGTTTGTATAGAAAACACGCGCGGCACAACACACTGACAACGCGTCTGCGCGCGAGTTTTTTTATATGAAATCACGCGCGGCGCAGTGTGATAACCACCTTACTCATTATTTAACGTAAATATAGTTTTTCAAAATATCTTTGGTTCGGTAATGTTGATGTTTGTTTATATCAGCGTTAACTTAACGTTAAGAACAACGCGTCAAACTGTGACTACTGTAGAACGTCCCGATCAAAAACGCCAGAAAGTCACAAATTGAAATACCACTTGTAAATATTTACAAGTTCTCAATATGTTTGAGGAATACCAAACAACTATTAACTATTCCAGTGATAATCACAAAACGCGCGGAAACAAAACATAGTTACAATACCAGAAACGGTCCATGCTTATAAACTATATGCAATGAAAGAACCATTAACTGTTGCATTCTGTATTGTTTACTACAAACTTTGACCTTTTTATGCTCAATTGACTTCATATAAATTATACTGTAGATTATGTCACTACATATTCACATGCCTTCGAAACTATTACATCGGCCTTGAAGATTTTATTGTTTGTTTACATTGAATCTGTTGGCAAGTTCTTTATAAATAAATTACGTGTAAAAAGTTTATGCAGTTTTTATTACTGTTATGCTGCCTCACGTTTGAAATGAATGGACTTACTTGTATAGTTGTATATAATATACATGTAGGATATGTATAAGAACTCGAAACTCGAGTCGCTTTTAAATAGTCATGCATAAAGATAAAATCTGTCTGGGCTGTTGTTTGTATTATGTACACATCAGCGAATCAAACGTAAAATGTTGACCTTGAAATAGCCCTTATTTCCCACGAAATAAAAGCTGCAATTCAATGTTGCGCTCGATTGACTGAGTAGCACGTGCAGACGCATTGAACACAGTAGGACTATTTTCAATGCGCTATTTTGTAGTAATCCAAATGTGATTACATTAGCCTATATTTTTAACATCCGCCTAAACAATCTATACTCCTGACGACTTCGACCACTCTGTTATGATGAGTATAACGATTAAAAAGAAGATATTTCTCTACCATAAAATAATTCGATCGATACAGTCACAGAAAGCAAAAATTTTATGGTTCTAACTTAATAAACAGTGAATAGAATATGAGTTCAAGTAAACACTCTTATTATTTTATTTTATTTTATTTTATTTTATTTTATTCAGAAAACAAACAGCTTACAAATATATAAATTGCATAGATACAGTGTAGTTGGTCAAAGCCTATAGTTTTCACCTCTATATAACCTCTATATATATTATATTCTATAGAACCATAATATTACTCACAGAATGAAATAGAAATGGTGAGTTCATTCTCAAAACACGTTTCGGGAGCTACAGCTCTTGCGCATAAAACTGAACTCCACAAGATGATGTAAACATCGATCTGTATACTTGAGACATCACTGGCAAGAGCAAAAGAGACGCTTGGGTATCCCAGTGCTCAGTTACTGAGGCACTAAGAAGAAGAACGCCTTTTTGTCATTCGAGCCACGATTTGTATTAAAATCGTGGCTCGAATCACAAAAAGGCGTAACTGATTTTTATCAATTTTATAGTGAGCTTTAAAGAAATTTTTGAAGTATGGAAAAATGCATTTCGGGTCCTTTTTACCTGTCAATACTGGCTTCCTAATAAGAATTTAGGTACGGTCTTTTTTGAGGTTATAAATTGCATGTATTTTAACAACATGGTGTGTTTAACTCAATATCGCCATTTTGTTAGATACGCCTTTTCGTGATTCGACTCACGAAATGGATCGTCTAATTACCTGCTGCTGTATGCTAGACCTTCGGCTGGTGCTTCTGATGCCGGAGTCTTTGCGGCTGTTGACTGAAGGGCAGAGGCTCACGGCATCGTCCTGCGGCCTGACAGGCAGAGGCGCCGGTAAGGGAAGGTTGAGCTTCCGATCTTTGGGCCGCGTGAGCTCCCCTTGCGTTGTTATTGTCGAACTTCGAGCGCGGCACACGGGCACCTACAGATTTATTTATTTTTTTAAATAAGCCCCAAATACAAAGTGAAGTCTATAAACTCGTGAACCTTGGGGTATTGTGAATTATTGACAAGGGGGAAATAGAAGTTTTGCTGATGACTAGTATTTTTCATTGTTAAAAGATTTAATAATATTATGGTTAATTATCACCGCTAGCTATTTTAATTTAATCGATACAACATTAAGAAATATATGAGGCAGACTGCGAGCTATAAATATACGCGTTAGAACCTCAATGTAGATTTATGTAAGCATATATGCACGTACGAATACGTGCATATATGCTTACATAAATCTACATATATATACATTCTTACAATAAACGAGTACTTATGCTGTATTTTTATGAATGCTATCCAATAATACTGTAACGTGCCATATACAGGTTAAGTCATGAATGATCTTTGTATTTAAATCGTGTGAAAAGCAGTCATAGAGCAGTAATAAACAACACGTTTTTTAACGTTATAAAATGAAAACAGCACGTCTACAGATATAGACGGCGCCGGCTAGTCGCTGAATATTTATCGAGATAATTTTATGATCTCGGCAACATTGATGAACGCCTGATTACTTTCATTACATGCAACCAAAGAATCGAAACTCAAGCAAACTACTGGCTGATGAAATGTTATGAAATCTGCTCTTACATGATATCACTCAATTTGCCAGAAAACCAAATATTTATGACAAAATTTAACGGCTTCAGCCCGTCATGATAATCAATAAATAATGACTGTTAATTCAAGGTTCGCCACAAATTCTCTCGTATCTTTACTTCATCTTTTGGCTTAAGTAAATATGTCATTGTGTTTACACGATCCAAGAGGCGATAAACACGAGTGCCTATCTTCCGTCCGCATCTGTATATTATTATTGTTACTAACTGAAGTAAAACAGCTAAAAAACTTAATTAACTACTGATATTCACCTCAATATGGTTGTGTGGTCTCCCGTACTGGGATCTGTAGCTGCTACTCCTGGCAAACGGCGACATATTACTCCTGGACTGACTCAGATACGACCGAATGTCTATGACCTCCCTCTCGAAAGATCCCATGTCATGGATCTGCGGTATATGCAGCTTACTATGACTCTGTATAGGCCTAGCATTTTTATTGTCTTGAGATTCTATTACTATAGGCACTTGTTGATACCCGTTGCTAGACTGAACGCCGGTCCCGTCGCCCTGCTCCAAAAAGTGTATTGTCTTATCGCTATACTCCTGTTTTTTCATCTCGTGTAAAGGAGTGTCGGAATGTTTTCTCAAAAATCTGGGCACTTTCCAATTTTTTAACTTATTAGTATACTTCCCGTAGCTCCCTGAAAAATGTTTAGAAGATTATTGTTAGCGAGAATAGCGAGCGTGCTAAGATCATATAGACATTGTAAACTGCAAGGAACCACATCCTATACAGGCGTATTAATAGTTTCATGATGACGAGAAAAGCGTGTTTATTTTGTAAACTACACCACACGTTTGGGATGTTTTACATACTATTTAGCAAATTATCACTTGATGTGGGATTATTGTAATAATAAGTTGTTAAAGTTAACGTGAGTGTATGATTATGTACACAGTTGATTTTTATTTAAACATCTACGCGACGTAATGGTATGATGCTAATATGTAGGTATTGGAAAAGATTACAATAATACAAAATATACGTAGGTTCTTACAAAACATTAAATTATCGGTACGTAAGTATCTAGTTTCGACAACTAATCGAAATCCTACATATCTGAATTGCTGATCGATGAAATTTGATCAAGTCGTGTGTAATCAGTATGTAGTTTGAATAAGAAAGAGAGTTGCGCATTCACATATTTAAATCTTCAACAAATAATAATGTTTTAGGTAGCCCGAATATAGAAAATTATTTACGAAACTGATAAACTGCGCGTAACTAAAGTATCATTATCAATTTAAGTATACTCGTATCTGTCATAGTTTAGAACTTGTGTTAAGCTCCGTGACAGACGACATCACCTTCAAGCAATGAGAGTCATATTATAATCTTATCTTACTTGTGCCATGTACCGCACTGATAATATGACTTTTCCACAGTTCAATTCGTTATTATATCAGCATGGTTAAGTAAACAAACGAAACAGATACAGAGTTTACATCAACACACAAATCTTCTAACACATGAGCAAGATGAGTTATTGCAGTCCGCAGATAATCTCGTCTGTGTTGCAGTGAATCATTCTATCAATCTTTCTCTATTTTCTGTTTCGTGTCAAGGTATATCAAGAGCAGCTTTACCTCGAAAATCACTTTACATTCTACGACGTATCATACTCTACATTCGTGCAATAAAAAATTTGAATTTGAATTTGTTAGCCTAGGCGCAGACCACCGACTTTTAGTTGGCCGATAGTTGGGCCCGATTTTAATTTGTATGAAGAATCGGCCGATAGCAAATCGGTGTAATGTGCGCACTTTCATACATCTCCATACTGATTAACAGCCCGACCCAACTATCGGCCAACTAAAAATCGGTGATCTGCGCCTAGGCTTATAATACCACCCCTATTTTAACTACGTAATGATGATACCACAGTGTAATAGCTTGATGCGCGGTTGATGTACATAACAAATACACTTACCTACAGATGTTGGACTTTTTGATGAATTCTCATTTCTTTCTGGGAAACCCTTATCCCTTTTCTCGTCTAACTCGACATCTGAATCTAATATACTTGGCAGTGAACTAGCTTTAGTACGAAAATTGAATGGGTTCGGTGATAAGAAGTTGTTGACATCATGTACCCCTGGACTGTGCTTGTCATTCGTGTCATTGTCTCTCGAAGAGACGGGAGGCGGGGAGTGGGTAAATGAGAGAGCGGATTGAGGGGACACAGCAGGAGATATGATAAGGCGTAAATTCACAGGATTTGCGGGAGTATGACACTGATCGTTGTCGTACGGGGAATACAGCTGACGGCCTTCAATGAAGTAGGTTTTGTGACCTAAACATACAAGAGTTTATTGAGCTACAAACACAACAGATTGAGAAACAAATTACAGGCAAATCGAATATTATAAATAACTTACCAAACACTTCCTCTCCTTCTTCTAAAACGTAGGAGCCCCCGAGAAACTTGCTGGTCTCTTCGGAGATATGGACGCGGCCTGGCTTTCCAGTGGATTCCATCTTATTGGCGAATGTAACATCGTTGCTCCATACATCGAACTTGAACCTTCGTGTTCCCACGATTCCGCACAGGACAGTCCCAGTATGCACACCCACCCTCATGTTGATGCCCTCACCTCTTTCTCTATCAAATTCTTGAATTGCATCTATCATACCTTAAATATAAAATAAAATAGTTACTTTTATTCTTTATACGTCATTTTACATTCTTATAGCGCAAGAAATACCCTTTTTTAAAATGTAGGTAAAACTTATTCATTATTGATTTGTTACAAGCTCTATAATTAAAGGATTGCTAAAGAAAAGGGCGATATTTTCCGTTCTCTACCACCTGTTTGTCTCCCACAGGGATTAATTATTAAAATAATTACAGAGGTTGTGCTTCTATCCGCCATTTAAATGGACTCTAAGTTTAGATGTGATAATATCAATTGCTCTCATTTGTTTAATTCATATTCATTACTCATAGACCAGTGTGTAATGAATCATTGGCTTTGCTATGACAGTTTAGTACCAGATATAAAAATGATTGAACTTACCTAATCCCATTTCTACACAGCATGTTGCATGGTCTGGTCTTGGTTCTGGGCAACCAGACACACAGTAATAACAGTCTCCTAATGTAGATATCTTTTCACATCCATGAATTTGGCATAATTCATCAAATTTTTCAAACAAATCATTTAATATATTAACTAACTCATCAGCACCTTTATTACTGGACATCCTAGTGAATCCAACAATATCAGCAAATAGAATACTAACATTGTCCATACAGCTCATATTAAATGGTCTGAATAGTGATTTTATGTCTGAAGCCCCTGGATTTGAGACTCTTGGGTTAAGTGGATCATGAGGTTTGAGATTTGGTTCAGATTCTAACACTTGCTCTTCCATTAACCAGCTGGCCAGTTTAGGAGGCATCACAGAGTGAATCATTTTCTCTTTTAACTGTTTTTCCATTTCAAGTTGTCTCCTCACAAGCAAGCTTTGGCCAACTTTCATAAATGTTCCACGCATTCTTACAAACGTCATTAAGTAAATATGTACACCTATTATGTGGGCACAAAATTGAAGTAGGACCCTCACAAACATTCCAGGACCTAGCCATTGCTGTTCTGTTAAGTGCAATACAATGTTCAAAATTTCAAATACAATGGAATATACAAGTCCAATGATAACACAAGCATACAATGGTAGTGGAGTTAAAGTGTATATAATCAATAAGATCTCGATACACATGGTAAAGTGACCTGACTGGCTTATGTCTGCAGCATGGGACGATGCTGATTCTACCTGGGTGGTCAGTGTCACAAGGGAGAGACTCAGCGAACACAGAGCAAGTGCCATGACTAGGGACAGCTTAAATGTGTAAATCTTATAAATATTTGTAAATGTGACAAACAGCATAACAGACGTAATTAAGAGTACCCCACCAAACATAGAACAAAGGAATGGCCATTTAACTGTCACACCATTCAAGCCAAGGCCCACAAAGTAGACAAACCAGGATATAGAAAATATCAAAATGTATAAAAGTGCAAATCTGAAAAGAAAAAATAAAAACATCAAATATACTCAAAGGAAAATTTAACATGCAGGAAATGCATCTCATTTATAAGTTTTACCTGAATCTTAACCGTATCTGCTTAAAGGAACTGCTTCGGTATTGGCCTTCAAGTATTTCGGAATCAAATCTGGGGTTCCACCAAGTACCAGCTGCAGCTCTTTCAAAAGCAATGGGGATGGCCAGTCCGCAACAATTTGTGGTGGGATTGTTGTGGGCCAAATATGCCTGCACATGGGGCGCCAGTCGGATTTGGGCATCCTCCCCTTCAGAGCAGTCAGCGTCATGTTTAATGTCGAACTGTTGAGAGCCATCATTGCAGCTAACACACCCACTTGGAGCACTCATTGTTAGCTCATGTGCTTTATTTTACAAGCCATTTTTAAGAGAATATGTTGCTGACCATATTAAGTCTGTTGATAAGACAGAACATAAATTTATCAACATTTTACGTGTTATTTATGCAATCAAATCATGATAAATGAGTAAAACCCAATCTATGAACCCAATCTGAACTGTGTGACCAAGGTATAAGTCTAAAAGAAGGAATTCGATTGCTGAAATTCACAAAAGTGAATAACTAACCATGTAAGTGAAAACAAGAGGGATAAGATTTAATGAAAATTTCAAATCAGCTATTAACCAAAATGCAGACTTTAAAAGCAAAATAAATTATGTATTGTCTAATTCATAATCAAAATAACACATAAATAACATCGCAATAGTTAATGAAAACTAACAATAAATACCTTATCTAAAATGGTAAATAGTTGAAAAGATTTAAATCTATTTGATAGTAAATTAAGTACTCACCAGCAATAATATTTTCACACTAAAAATTTCTGGGCTTCAAAGATAACATTGATCACACACTAGATACACATTGTACACTATATTTTATTCGTTCATTTCGTTAATTTTTCGCTTCCAGAATACAGTTTTAAACTACATTTCTTGATAGAAATAAAATTAGATTGATTACTTCAACCATACTGCTGTGGACTACGATTTTTTATACATTTTTTTTTATCTTCTTGATGGAAATGACTGACTGACAGACGACGTCAGACAGACGTCTGTCAAACAAGGGAGTGAGTGAGTGAGTGAGTCACGAGCGAATGAAATTACGAGAATGAGTGAGTTGTTACCACTTTGGGTCTAGAGAAGTGGCACCAATCGGAAATCGAATCCGTTGCTCAGCATATAGTTCCAAAATACTGGACTGTCCTGTCGATGACATTGACAGTGGGGCGCCACCGTCAATACCGGATCGCTGGTTCAGATTTTTGCCATGTTGGAAACCATATAGTTGAACGATGGTAGCGCCCCCCTGTCATTGAGTTTGGCGGGACAGTTCAGCGTGGGTCATCTATACCAAGGATAACCGTTGTATAGCCTGACCAGGAACATAAAAACCCTCGCCATGTTGCGGAAAACTAATGGTACTAATTTCTTTTAATGGGAACAGTAACTGAAAACTTCATTGACATGTCACCATGCATGTCAGTCTATTGTTGTCAAAGTGTAAACAAACTTTTTTTTAAATGTGTGCAATTGATTTCGTGAATTAAATTGCTAAAATATTTTTATAGTCGTGAAAGAAAAGTGGTTCACGATGTGTTAATGTATTTGTCGAAGAGAAATACTAAGGGTTCGGACAATATTTTCATTGAATAATGTTTCCGACAAAGGTTGTCAAATTGACTGACATGTTTATCGTATAGTACAGTCCACTATGAAAATTAGCTGTAGTCTGTTTCAACTACCTATTTTAAAGTTTTTTGTCACTTTCTAAGTTTTGAATTTTATGGAATTGGGAAAGAAGTACCGAGTTTGAAGCGTTCATGAGCAGACATTGCAGTTGAATATTCAAGTTCTGAATTTGATTATTGATGAATAATAAAATAAATGCTACTAGCTCGATTGATGATTCATTTAATTTATTTAAACCAGGTTATCTTTAATAATATTTTTCGTTAATTTATGAAAATATCAAATTAGCCCGTAATCCTGAATCCTGATACATAAATTTAGCCTATTAATTTAACACATGTACGACTGTACTCAGTGTTGCACTATCAAATGCAATTGAAGCGCCTCTGTGCCAGGGTTTTTATGTTCCTGGTCAGGCTATAACTCCATACCACAGTGGGTCTAGACAAAGTGCAAATTATAATCGCAAACCAGTCGAAAAGTGGTCGAAAAGCCCCTTTTTTGTATGGAGTTTTGACGGATTCGATTTTCGATTCGATCAAAAAGTTTGTCTAGGGGGGCAGAGCACGTAATAGTATATAGATGACCCACGCTGAACTGTCCCGCCAAACTCAATGACAGGGGGGCGCTACCATCGTTCAAATTTATGGTTTCCAACATGGCAAAAATCGGAACCAGCGATTCGGTATTGACGGTGGCGCCCCGCTGTCAATGTCATCGATAGGACAGTTCAGTATTTTGGAACTATACAAAAAAAAGGCTTTTCGACCACCCTTTGACATAAAAACTGTCACATTTTGCAACTTGTGGTTGTGAAGCATAAACTTTGGTTTGGATATAGGTGCAACTTGCCTAGGGGGACTGTGCCCCGATTGCGCTAATTTTAAACGTCTCCAATACATTGGCGCTTCTTCCTTCACCAGTTGCGCTCCGTTTTTCATTCCAGAGCCCCGATTACGGTAATTTTTAACGTCTCCAATACAGACGCGCTTCTTCGATTCTGCGATACGAGCGTAATCGGGCGGGGCACAGTTGAGGGGCAAATTCGGTATTGCGATAAAGTTCACGCGCAAACAAAGACGAAACAACGGATTAAATCACTTTCCAATAAAAATCCGAACACCTTATTTTTTCACTAAAAACAGCAAGGAAGGTCCGTGCGTGAAGGCATTTGACTTGAGTTTGAGAAAAAGTAGCTTTCTTTCAGCTTTTACACAAAGAAGCAGTTGCGTTTCGTTATCGTTTGAACTAGCTGTCAAAGCGACACCCCGATACGAATTTGTGATTTTCGTTCGTCGTCTAGTCGCATTGTAGTGGAAAATATTTAGCGCAATCGGGTTCGGGGCCCGGCCGGGTTACTTTGGGGGTGTTCAACTGTTTATGGCGCACGCATAGAAATAGTTTTGAGTCTCGGGAAAGAACGGGAAAGATTTTATCCCGGTTTTTGAAACAGAAAATTTCACGAGGGCGAAGCCACGGGCGGATCAAGCTAGTAGTTTATAGATTCAAAGCAATTCAAAGTCTTTGCTCGTTTGAAATATGACAATTGAAAAAAAAAAGTCTGCTGACATGTCAGTCATGTCACTGTCAAAACTGTCAATATCAAAAAATAGGAAACATTAGGAAATTTGCTCTCGTTTCGCGTTTCGAATCGATAGTTCATTTCTTTCTTTCTTTTAAGTTTGTTATTGTTATTTGAACAATTTTTGATAAATATTATTAATCTAGCTTTTGTTATATGTTAAAATGTATTTGCTATTATATTTTTGTATAATATTATTTGTTCCACATTTAAGTGGAAAAAATGTTTTGACATCTTTGGAGACGAATAATAATATTAGCAACAGTAAAAATTCTACTGAATCAATATTAATCGATTTCAATAATTCAAACGTTACTCTCAACACCGAGGGTGGCTCAATTAAACCAGAATTGCCTTTAATTTCTCTGCCGAAGGAAGTTCATTCTGACCTCTCTAATTTGGACAAGGAAATTGTTAATTCGAAAGGGAAATCTATTGTTCCTCGAAAAGGGGTTCAATATGAATCAGCGGAAGATACTTTATTCAAGCTAAATCATTCAGAGAGAATTGATAGCACCGTAAGTGACCCAAAATTTTCGAATAATACAGTAATTGCAGCATCACTTCAACCTCCATCTTCTAAGCCGTCCACTCTTCTCTCGTCGAGTAGTGTTGGGAGCGCTAAAGATAGCACATTGAACAAAACGCAAAGTACAGTAAGCCCTAAGAAACCTGCAGTGTTGTCAGCTGAAGCATTGAGTGAAACAGATCGAAGAGTACAGATAGAAAAAGCTAAGACAGAGAGTTCATCAAAGTCAATTGTTTCTGATCAACTACCTTCACCTAGTGTGAAGCATGAACCAGCAACCCACAGTCGCCATCCTGATTTGGTCATGCCCATTGTTATAACAATGCTGGTGGTACCTATGTTTGCTGTTCTTGGCTACATGGCACTTCGCCGAGGACAAGAGGCTTGGAAGAATAGACATTACAAAAGAATGGATTTCTTGTTAGATGGTATGTACAATGATTGATGAGCTCTAAGGATTCCTAACAAAGCTCATTGCCAATCTTGGTTGTTGTGATAAAAATAACTCTTTTTTTATATCTTGTAATATGTAGCTTTGTTTTATTATACCTATGCTTAGCCTAGTAAAGGCCAAGGTTGTTTCTTAGTGCATAATCAAAAAATGCAATAACTGTTGATAACATAAAATATTTATTTTTCTAAATTAGAATTTAAGATAGGTACAATTGTAATTTTAAAAATAATTTGACTGAGAAAAATCAAAATATTAATAACTACCCTTAAACTTTTGAAATGGTAAATTATATTGATTACAGGCATCTTCTAACAATCCAAAAAATATTTTACTCTCCACTATTTTACCTTTTAGCTCGAGGAAACCTAATTATCTAATTTTTTAAACTTGAGCCATTATACCAAAATAAATGGCATAACAAAATAATTTTTATTATTAAAATTCTCAGTCAGATTATTCAACTTTAACCAGTTACTAGAATAATAAAGCAATAATTGGTGCTGCTCAATTGTGCCTTAAAATTATGTATTAGTGTAAATACCTATGTGAGCAAAATATTTTTTAAACTTTAAAATTGTTAAGTACCTATTATGGTATGAATTCAAAACAGTAAGTCTTCCTTTATTAATATAATTTATTTACAAAATGTGTTACATTGATCAGTTAACATGATACTACTGTTGTGATATTTTATGATATTTGGATGCAAATCTGTGCAAAACATAGTATGTTATTTTAGTGGTTATTGTAGTTATAATAACTATAGTTACTATTCTTAGGGCTGATTTTTCAATCGTTGGATAACTTTTAACTGAGGAATAAGTTTGGCACATTGACAGTTTTAGTATGAGAAATATGTCAAAATGACAAGTTTATTCTTCAGATAAAAGTTAACTGACGATTGAAAAATCGGCCCTTATATGAATTAATTGTTAATGCTATATTTTAATAACATAGTTTTTTATTTTGTTTTCCAGAAAATCTAAGCTACTTATGAATTTTATATTATACATGTACACTATTTACATTATTTTACATTTACTTACCTACTTATCTTACGCCCACGTGGTCCCACTCGTGTGGTTTTCTTTTTGTTAAACCTTAAAGTTTCTTTACATACTAGATAGAGACTTAATTACTCTTTGAAGCTTTTATAACTGCAATAAATTAGTAACTACCAAAGGAAGAAAATAAATATTGTTCCATGAATTTGTGTTTTTATTACATAATGCATATTTACTTCTTTTTCCTTCTTTCCATGGTATTTTATAGTCACCCCAGTTGCCCCCACTATGATGGTGGTGCACCTAGCAATTTATACCAACTAAAATGCCCCAGTCTTCCTACTAAATGGTGCCCACTTTCATCAAATAGATTAGTGGAAATGTGTTATCGTATTCAAATAGATAATGCTACTTTGTTTATTAGTTTGTAATAATTTTAAGTGTTGTTATGTTGTAGGGATAATTTTGTAAATTAATTCACAGTTGCCCCCTGTGAGTGTGCGACATAAGCGGGGGCAACTGGGAATCGAGTTTGAATAATCCCGCTTGTCGCACAACGACAACGACGCATGCATGCGCATCAGCGCGTGATAGCGCAAATCTTCAGGTTATCGCGATGTTTTTTTTTTTTTAATATAGTTTTTCACGGCTCTGGGAGCAAGCCCTTTTAAGCCAGTCTTTGAAGTCCGTTGAACTTTTGTTTGAATTTGAGACATCACATCTGTGTTTGACACTTCACTTCACTGAGTTCACTGCACTGATGATTCCAACTGATTCACTGATTTTCTCTTCTCAAATAGTTCCCAGAGTTGAAACCACGAAAGTATATAAGGGTTTGAAAAGTTTCGGATCCTTCAGGAGCTCGTCCAACGACTCTGGTACACGTTCACAAATAGATTGAAGGTCATCGATCATGACCAGTCTCTGAACTNAAACACGTTTACAATACTTTTCCAGAATATGCAAAGTTTATCTAATAAGACCACTCTTTTGGAAACACTCATAGAAGAAAGTCCAAATAGATTTCAATCAATCTGCGTGTCTGAAACCTGGCTGTCTAAGGAAAAAATTGATCTATTGAACGTTAGTGGATACAACCTAGCCGCCTCATACTGCCGCGTCAACTACGAGGGCGGCGGCGTGTGCATCCTACTGCGCGACGACTTGGAATACACGGAGCGACGCGATTTAATGGACATGTCAATTGAATACGTGATAGAAGTTTGTGCCGTAGCAATTATTAATTTGAATATATTATTAGTAGTCGTGTATTGGAATAGTAGGGAGACCGAAGTTTTCTATACGCAAATGAATTTAATCTTAGAATTACTTAACAATAAATACAACAAACGTAAAATTATCTTAGGAGGGGACTTTAACGTTAATACTTTGATAGACAATAGACAATCTAGGTCATTAATCGATTTATTTTTACTATATAATTTTAGACAACAAATAAAAGAACCGACACGGGTAACACACTCTTCTTCGACATGTTTAGATTGAATTTTTACGAATTTTAGTGACATTAGTGATTGTTATGTAAATGGCTTAGGTTTTTCCGACCATAAGGGAACCATAATAAAGCTTAGTGAATTAATAAAAAATCAAGGAATAAATTGGAAAATGGAAAAAAGATTTTTTAATATTAGAAACATGGACAATTTTAAAAATGAACTTCAAAATATAGATTGGAATGAAATAATAAACCCTCAAAAAAACATCGATGAAAATTATGAATCATTTAATAGTGTATTACAAAAACTTCTTGATAAATGTATTCCCAAAAAACAAGTGACCCTAAAAACTAATAAAAAAAAGGATGGTTAACAAAAGGTATAAAAATATCATGTAATAATAAGAGACTATTAAGAAGTTTAAAAACACAAACAAAAAATCAAATCATTATTAATTATTATAACAAGTATCAAAAGGTTCTAAAAAAAACAGTAATTGCATCAAAAAAGCTTCACTACATCAAAGAAANCCATGATTGGCGCCATTTGGCGCTTCTTCCTTCACCAGTTGCGCTCCGTTTTTCATTCCACGATTGGTCGTTCAACAGCGTACGTCAGCTGTTTTGACCAATCGTATCGCAGAATCGATGAAGCGCATCTGGATTGGAAACGTTAAAAGTTACCGTAATCGGGGCTCTGAACCCCGATTACGGGAATTTTTAACAGTTGACGTCAGCTATTTTGACCAATCGTATCGCAGAATCGAAAAAGCGCGTCTGTGTTGAGGGGCAAATTCGGTATCGGGTATTTCGCCGAAACAGTCAATTTTCTGTGTCCAGGCAGGCGAACACATGTTTTTTTATATCTATCTGTATAAAACTATTTTTATGGGAAAGTTCATAAAAGTTTTATTTGTTTTTGCTATTACAATAGTAGAAACTACAAATAATACCGTAGAAAAACTTAATCAAAAGTCGTTTTTCTAATTTCCTTGTTATGTCCATTACTGTTGTTTGCCAAAATGAAGGCACATTATAAAAAATTGAAGCGTAATTTAATTCTAATAGCACTCTCTTTACATTTGAGAAACGTTTGGCTATCGGAAAATAAAAACTTTCAATGTCAAATACTTATAGGAAGAAAATAAAGTGAAGTTAAGTTCTTGTCCAGGTCAAAAGTATAATTTCCCTGGGTCTTCTTTTCGACCATTGTAGTAACNTAAAAAAAACTAAACTCATGCAATTTAGACCTTATCAAAAAAAGGAATTGCCAATTAACTTTATTTATAAAGATTTGAAAATTGAAATGGTAAGCACTTTCAACTTTTTAGGTTTGAATATTGACTCGCACTTAAATTGGAAAGAACATGTAAAAAAACTGCATTCAAAATTATCATCTTTTATCTACGGACTAAAAGAGCTAAAAAAAACAACTGATATAAAGACGGCCTTAACAGCCTACTACGCCTACGCATACGGGTGGCTTCGCTACGGAATTATACTGTGGGGAAATAGTACCGAAGTAAACGACCTCTTTATCCTACAAAAAAAATGCATCCGAGTCATTGCAAACATCAAAGACCGTGTGAGTTGTGAACCTTACTTCAAGGAGTATAAAATACTAACATTAGCGTCGATATACATTTTAGAGCAGTGTAAGTTCGTACGAAAGTATCCAAAGTTTACGACAAAAGTAATAGATCAACCACATCGCCGATACGTCCCACGTGATAAACATAAACTGACTATCCCGGAATCTAAACTACATTTACATAGTCAGAGCCCAAACGTCATGTCGATTAAAATTTACAATCACTTGTCACAAAATATAAAGGCAGAAATCAATGATAAAAAATTTGAACTCCTCCTTAAAAATATGCTATTACAAAAATGTTATTATAGATTGGAAGATTATTTTAAAGATAAACTTTGACATAGTGGTATCTACCCAATTTATACAAATTTTATTAATTTTTATTATTGACATTATACTACAATTCCATGACATTATGCAATTATTTTTAATAATTTTTAATTTATTATCTTTGTTTAGACATGCTATGACATTAAGTGTATGACTGTGTACTCAATATTGTATAATTTTAGCAAACTTCCACGTAAATTCTATTATATTGAACATACCTATTATTATATAAAATATTGACATTGTAAATTGACATCGTGAACTTGACATCTTTAAAATTATGACATCAAATATTTCCAGTTAAAATTAAGATTTTTTCAATTTAATAGATTCTGAAATTGTTAACATTAATATGCATGCCGAATTAATAAATAAATGTTTGTAAAACACAATGTTGCTGTGCCCAAACCGGGTCTATGTTTGAGACTATACAATATATTGTTTAAGACCTTATGTACAACATAGAATGCAATAAAGATTTTGAATTTGAATTTGACTCGCAAAAATATAAGAAAATTTGAGTTTCGTAGTTCCACGCCCTTGGGAAGGATCAAATCTGCCTACGAAAATATATTTTATCCCATTAAAACACAGTTATTATGATACATTATTTTATTTCAATAGTATGCGTAATAAAAACCTAAAAAGTCTTAAAATTATAGATTTCCCACTTNGATCTATTTTCTTTAGGTGGTGGACAATATATACATAGAATACTTAAATTACCTATGCCAGTTCGCAGATTAATAGCTACAGGTTGTAGAAAATCATAAAAGGGAAGCTCTATTACTGAATATTTCAAAGTGTCTTTGACTAGGATGGCGACTCCACCCCGGCCTTCTTTTTCTTTACCTATTTTACTAACTAGATTGTAATTATGAATACGAAAAGAACTGTTTTCTTTCAACCATGTTTCGTTTAACAAACATATATCAATATCATTATCAATCAAAAATTTTATAAGTAATGGCTTTTTGTTAATAACACCTTCGACGTTAAATTGAGAGATTCTTATGAAACTTTTATCCATTTAAAGCCCTTTGAAACTTTTTATAAGAATTTCCTGTATAATAGAACTATTAACTGCCCTCGTTTCGTTGCCAATAGCGACAAGGGCGCCTACAAGGCCCTTGCGAATAAAATCATTGTTTAATATTTCATCTATTAATTGTTCATTGGTAAGTGGTTCTTTTTCTTTAACTTCCATCGAGTTAGTTGAAGTGGAAGAGGCGATTGTGTAAGGTTGTTCATGTATGGAAAATGAATACAATTGATCATCAATCGTTTACCTAAATTCGAAATTTTGACCATTCCATGAAGACTGAAAAGTGACCGGTCGTATAAAAACGTTTCATGGATAAATTGCGTTTTATTATCGAAAAACATTAAACAAATAATAAATCAAATTCATGTTTAAATGCAGTTCGACATAATTAATATTTTTTACTGAATAACCTGTAAAAGTTAATTCTACAATTTCTGAAAAATCACCTAAAAGTAACCTTTTCATTAGTGTAACCTAAAAGTAACCAATGCAGTTCAAAAGTAACCTAAAAGGTTACAAAAGTAACCTTCTGGCAACACTGGTCATTGGTGGCGCTGCAGCGCTGCAACTAGTTTTTATAAACTGAGTGAACCACTGGTCTACTCACATTGCTAGAGGGGATTGCCTGTCAGTTCCACTCCTGGGTTAATAACTCTATGCATTTTTACAAGTAAGAGGGATATGAATTCCCAGTTGCCCCCAGTGAGCAAGTGAGTGTGACATAAGCGGGGGCAACTGGGAATCGAGTTTGAATAATCCCGCTTGTCGCACAACGAGTACAACGACAACGACGCATGCAATATGCATCAGCGCGTGATAGCGCAAATCTTCAGGTTATCGCGATGTGTGTGGCCTAGGGGTCAGATAAGTGCCAAGAAATTCAAGGGAAAGCAGAATATCTAAATCATCATATTAAACAATGTTCTTAAATTATTAAAAAAATATTATGTAGGTATTTAAATATTTTTTTGGAACTTTTCCCTTAAAAATCATTGTTTACTTTATTACTTTTTGTAGTCCTTTAAGTACACTATTTCATTGAGTGGACATTTTATTAAAAAGATGTGAAGTGTCAAATGAATGACATTTGCGACTTTCAAATGACACATTACATTCAAAATTTCAGACTGCGAAGTTAATTACCAATTAATGAAAAAGCTAGCACAAATCAGTTAGTGGATCTTTAATTTAGGAAGACGACAGAAATGCCCCTTTCAATGTCATTCGTGATTTAGCCGTTTGGTTACATATCTAGTCTAGTGAGATAAAAATGAGGACCCGCAGTAACTCAGGGGTCCGCTTGGATTATTATCAGAGAGTGGTGCATAAGTTAATTTTAGACCATCAGCAGCCCGTAACTGGTTTGTTCCCAGCAAGTCCTCACAATGACCACGCGTGGATCAGAGATAACTTGTACTGTATCCTGGCAGTATGGGGGCTATCAATGGCGTTCAAAAAAATCGCCGATCAAGACGAAGATCGAGCCAAGACCTATGAATTGGAGCAAAGTTGTGTGAAACTCATGAGAGGTAATATAATGTGATACTATTTAGTGTGTTAAATTAACTTTAGTGGCACTCAATTTCCCAACTTATAAAATTATTCAAGAGTTTGGAAAAAACTTTGGAACTAGAGAATAAGCAATTTTATTCACAAAAAGAAAAATATTCTTGCTGAAAAAAATTGTCCTGAAACATACCTATTTAGTTAGTACAGTATTGTGAAACATACTTGAACTTACTAATTTATAGTATAAGTGGTGGTGGTTGGTTCATAATTTTTTTGTGGTTTCTCAATAAAGTATACATAACACATACCCAATGTGAACTAAAGTAACTTGTGAATTTCAGGTCTGTTAATGGCTATGATGCAACAAAAAGAAAAAGTAGAAAAATTTAAGAGCACACAGCACTCATTAGATTCACTCCACGCCAAGTATTCCTCAGCCACCGGCCGCACTGTGGTCAAGGACAATGAGTGGGGGCACTTGCAGATTGATGCAATCTCCCTGTATTTGCTCATTCTAGCCCAGATGACTGCCTCTGGTCTACAAATAGTATTCTCCCTAGATGAAGTAGCTTTTATTCAAAACCTAGTATTTTATATTGAATCAGCTTACTGCACACCAGATTATGGGATTTGGGAGAGAGGAGACAAAACCAACCATGGACTTCCAGAACTCAATGCTAGCTCAATTGGCATGGCTAAGGCAGCTCTTGAAGCTATGAATGAGCTAGATCTTTTTGGAGCTAGAGGAGGGCCTTCCAGTGTCATACATGTACTGGCTGATGAGGCTCAGAAGTGCCAGGCTGTCCTGCAGTCTATGCTGCCCAGGGAGTCAAACAGTAAGGAACTTGATTCAGGACTGCTGTCAATCATAAGTTACCCAGCTTTTGCTGTGGATGATCCTCAGTTAATTGCAAAAACAAGGGATGCAATTGTCACAAAACTACAAGGAAAGTTTGGCTGCAAGAGATTTTTAAGAGATGGCCATAAAACCCCTAGGGAAGATCCAAATAGGCTGTACTATGAACCATGGGAGCTTCGAATGTTTGAGAATATAGAATGTGAATGGCCTCTATTCTTTTGCTATCTCATTCTTGATTACTGTTTCCAAGGTGACAAAAGTAATGTCAGTGATTACATGCAAAGATTGGAGAAGATCATGATAAGGAAAGATGATGGTATTAAACTTGTGCCAGAGCTATATTCAGTTCCTGCTGAAAAAGCAGATTTAGAACAGCTTGAACCAGGAAGCCAAGAGCGTATACCCCTTGGGAGATGTCCATTTATTTGGGCTCAGTCATTGTATATCCTGGGAAAACTGTTACAAGAGGTATTACTCTTCATACTGATCCATGAAACATATTGATTGATCAAAATAGTGTAATTTTAAGCCATATTTAATTGATTTCAGGGTTTTCTAGCAGTTGGTGAATTAGATCCACTTAATAGAAGACTTTGTTCTGAGAAAAAACCAGATGTTGTAGTGCAAATTGTTATCCTAGCTGAAGATAATGAGATCAGGGATAAGTTACTTGAATATGACCTCCATGTCCAGACTATAAGTGAAGTGGCTCCAATCGAAGTCCAGCCTGCTAGAGTGTTAAGTCATCTCTACACATATTTAGGTGACTAATCCATTATCCATCCACTTTATAATATCTTTCTAAACATATTCCCTTAAATTATAACTACATTTAAATTCTAGATACTATTTAATTCATGATCCTATATCTCAATTTCAGGCAGAAATAAAAAATTGGGACTGTCTGGGCGAAAATCTCGTGATGTTGGTATTCTAAGTACTAGCAAGCTGTATTCCTTGAATGACCGTATTTTTGCTTTCACTCCTCAAGTAAGTGTTTGAAGTTCAAGTATTTAATTGATTAGCATTTCTGATTAATTTTAATAGATGTACTGATGTTTATGTAGTCAATATTTTTGCGTAATTTTGAACTTCTGTTATCTTTGTCATTTTCGTCTTCTTCAGTGTCTGTAATTCTGCGACTGTTTACTAATTGAACTGCTCACAATCATATTTTTTTTGTTTAGCATGGATGCTGGGTCTTATCAAACATTTGTATTAGTGATGAAACGGATAGTTGTTTGGCCGGATACCGGATACCGGATATCCGGCCAGCTGCTAGGCCGGATATCCGGCGGCCGGATAGTTGGCCCATTGTCTCGTTGCATGTCGTGACGAGTATAGCGCCGCACAGGTGCTACGAACGCAATTAGTGGGTCTATTAGTAGACTAGACTAGTCACACTTTTCAAAAATGGAATCCGTCTGAATAGAATGTCAGATTTTGCCACTTGTCTAGGAGGCAGATCAATTCAATCTCGGTTGCAATCGTGAGTGTGTGATTGAATAGCGAAAATTTAATTAGTTGCATCATGTCATCAGACCATCAGTGAAAAAAAAATCGCCTATTTTATTTGGCAATATTTCGACATTAACAGATATTTACTATTTATGTATTCGTCATTAGAGTGAATAGCCCAGAAAAAGAAATTAGTTTGAAAGGCCTTAATATTGCTTTTTTGTAATTTTTTCGACTTTAAATAAAAGCCGTCATTATTATAAGCCATTTTGTTGGTATTTACCTCAAAGATTAATGTATTTCATTTTATTAATAGGAATTGTCGCGTTTTTTTAATATCCGGTATCCGGCCGGATAGTGAGTTACTATCCGGTATCCGGCCGGATAGTAAATTTAGGCCGGATATCGGGCCTACCGGATATCCGTTTCATCTCTAATTTGTATGCATGTTTTTTCTTTTTTAAACTAAGTTGTCTTCTTTTTTTGCCTTTATCATTTTTAACATTAGAATCTGATTTACTAATGTTTTGTTTATTTTAATAGTTTTCTGATATGAAGCGTTTCTACATTGCTTCCGACTATGAGCTGATGGTCGATACGCTCAAAGCTGAAATTAATTTCTTGAAGTCTTCTTGGCAAAATCTACTCGGGCGACCGCTTGTTGTATTGACTTTGAATCAAACATATTTAGGTATTCTTTTATTTTAATTACATTGGTTTGTGCTTGCTCTTTTGGACCCATTAACTTACTCATTTTCTGTATGGTATTATGTATTTATCCTATAATGCTTCTGCTTTGTATGTAAGAGTTTTTAGTTGTAATATAAGTGTAACATATTTCTTCTTTCTTTCTTTTTTTCTAATATACATACTTTCATTAACGTAAACTTTCAACTTTTGTGTCCATTAATGTTCTAATTGCGCCTTTCCGAGATACTGATTTATTAGCGAATATGAATGCCATCTTTATTTTATTGTGTATTTGTGGCTAAATATATCTGTCAACATTTTACCTGGTACCATTTCTTCATAAAAATGTACCCGCCCATAACAACAGTAGTATAGTATCCCTGACTGGTGTGTTATCTGTTAACGCATGGGTGTGCCATAGAACTTCGACTACGAGGAGTACTACATGTCGCGAGACCCGGCTCTCCTCGCAAGCACGTTCACCGCAAACGTCGCCTTCCTCGGCATGAGCTGGAAACAGATGCTCGGCCGGCCCACAATCACGTTACTTGCCACGCAGTATTTGTTAGGTAAACACGTAAAGTCCGGTCGCCGAGCACATAGAATTTCGTTCAATGAACCCAAGCTACCCATCCGTATCGCTCGCGCGTAATTATATTGCTGTCGCGCTCGCACAAAAACTGCGGCCACCCTTCGCACAGTCGCGACAGCAATATAATTACGCGCGATCGATAAGGTTGGGTAGCTTGGGGTCATTGGACGAAATTCTAACTGCTCAGCGACCGGACTTTGCTAACAATATTATGATCATACATCATACTATCAAATCAACCATCCATTCCGCTCATAGTGATTTATCGGGTTCGTAAGATATAGGATGCTTTATGCCTAATAATATTAGAAACTCCCTTCTGCGATAGCATATTATACGTATATCCGGGCGTTATAGTCTTAACAACCATTGAAATGTGTATACTTGCGCAATTAACATGTTTATTGCTTATAAGCTATTTATGTAATTCAAATATCAACTATATTGTCTTAAACATAAGTGTCCATTCTTCAGATCAGGGTAAGATCCCGATGGCAATGATAACGACAATGAAAAAACTGAAGTCGGGATACATAAACGGCACCCGAGTGACTCTTGGCAACCTGGGGGACTTTTTAAGCACCTCAGCTATCACGAATCTCAGCTTCCTCGGCAGCCAAGAAGATGGCTATCCTGACAGTAAGTACATATAACGTTAACTAGGACTTCTCTTGACGTCCTTGCGATTTTGTCATTCTTCTATGACCAAGATGCACCTACAAGTTTTAAGACATCAACAAAGCTAGTCAATCTATGAGGGTCACGGCCCTCACAAGTTCGTCACGTTAGTTCTATTACCATTGTTTCACAATATATTTCACTACCATAAATCGCTTTATGAATCTTCATACTGGCAAAATCTGGGGATTGGTTACATCGTCACTCCGTAACCGTGATTTAACAGACTATTTTCTAATGCATTGATCTTCTAATCAGCCGTAGGGACAACCAATGGGTTATATGGTGGTCTCTCCGCCAGAGCCTACCCAGTAAAAATAGCGGTGCCCTTGATAGCGAACTACCAGCTACCACACCTGTTTAAACGGAGTCAGAATGTCTTTGAATTAATACTTGCTTCCTTGTTTCAGAGCTAAACCTTCAAGTACAGAGCTACCTAGAGGAGCACCTTCTAAAGTCGTTCAGCAACAAGCTGAGCTTATTGCCGCGGCCGGCCGGTGCGCGCAACCCGCGTTCGCTGCGCCGCCGCATGTCTGTACGCGGTGCCATCAAAAAGACGCGCTCCATCAACGTGGACTGTGAGTAGTACTGCGCTGGTAGGGCCCAAAAGATAAGGAGACATGTAAAGTGCCCCATAAGGGCTACCTTTTCTTTTTTTATTATTTTCTATTGACATTCATAAGTGCCACTTGTGGTCTAAACTGAATAAATATTTTTGATTTTGATTTTTTTTGATTTTGAGTAGTTGACCCGTCGAATGTGCCAGAATAGACCCCTCTGTTCCCCACTTCAGACACTGGCAGAGATAACATCTGTGCCAGGATAACCTCCCTGTAGCTCTGTAGTAATCCTGTAACGCTGCAGTGGTCAGCGACAATAAGCTAAGCCTGCTACTGAGACCAGTAGACGTTATTTATCACAAAAAAGAATCATCATCATTCTAGTCACAGGACGTCCACTGCTGAACATAGACCTAAGCCTCTCCCAATGATTTCTAGACAGGTTGGTAGTGGCCTGCCAANTTTAAACTTAAGTGTCAATTCTTCAGATCAGGGTAAGATCCCGATGGCAATGATAACGACAATGAAAAAACTGAAGTCGGGATACATAAACGGCACCCGAGTGACTCTTGGCAACCTGGGGGACTTTTTGAGCACCTCAGCTATCACGAATCTCAGCTTCCTCGGCAGCCAAGAAGATGGGTATCCTGACAGTAAGTATGACGTTAACTAGGACTTCTCTTGACGTCCTTGCGATTTTGTCATTCTTTTATGACCAAGAAGCACCTACAAGTTTTAAGACATCAACACAACCACACAGTCAGTCAATCTATTAGGGTCACGCCCCTCACAAGTTCGTCAAGCCCCATTAGTTCTATTACCATTGTTTCACAATATATTTCACTACCATAAATCGCTTTATGAATCGTCTTACTGGAAAATTTTTTGGATTGGTTACGTCGTCAACCCGTAACCGTGATTTAACAGACTATTTTCTAATGCATTGATCTTCTCATCAGCCGTAGGGACAACCAATGGGTTATATGGTGGTCTCTCCGCCAAAGCCAACCCCAGATAAAATCTTGAGGTGCCATCAAAGCCAACTACAAGCTACCACACCTGTTTAAACGGAGTCAGAATGTCTTTGAATAAATACTTACTTGTTTCAGAGCTAAACCTTCAAGTGCAGAGCTACCTAGAGGAACACTTACTAAAATCGTTCAGCAACAAGCTGAGCTTATTGCCGAGGCCGGCCGGCGCGCGCAACCCGCGCTCGCTGCGCCGCCGCATGTCTGTGCGCGGTGCCATCAAGAAGACGCGCTCCATCAACGTGGACTGTGAGTAGTTGACCCGTCGAATGTGCCAGAATAGACCCCTCTGTTCCCCACTTCAGACACTGGCAGAGACAACATCTGTGCCAGGATAGCCTCCCTGTAGTGTGCCCTGTAGTTATCCTGTAGCGCTGCGGAGGTCGGCGACAATAAGCTAAGCCTGCTACTAAGGCCAGTCGACGTTATTTATTAAAAAAAAGAATCATCATCATTATCATTCTAGTCACAGGACGTCCACTGCTGAACATATACCTAAGCTTCCCCCAATGATTTCTAGATTGACAGGTTGGTAGTGTCCTGCCAACCTTTTTGAGGTCGTCTGTCCACTTTGTAGGTCTCACGCTGTGCTTCCACTCCAGAACCTTGCTGCCAAAAAAAGAATGTCTGGAATGTGAATGACCTCCTTCCAGATAATTATTATGATATTAAGATAATGTATTATTTTACAGCGGAGACGCTTGGTATGGAAGGCGAGTACGCCGGCCCTATCTTGGAAAGGAAGCCATCTTGGTTAGAAGTAGACCCCAATTTCGGCCGCAGCCCTTCGCCAGAAGAAGCTAGGAAGAAAGCTTTTACTAAGTAAGTTATTATTACGATAGTCGCAAGTTCTATCAGCTTTGCTTCTTTTTTTCCCAGACATGTTAATGGCCTTCATTCTACTCGTGGATGTAGAGTCATTTATTATTATTGTTTTAAATATTAACATTTGATTTATTGGTTTATTATTTTAGGGGAACTTCAACGACAAGTCTTGGCGCGGGCACTCCAACTATTGAAATCACTAAAGAACAGACCCCATCGCCGCCTAAAGAAGAAGGTAAATCAAACTTTTTTTATAACTATAATAATATCAAATTTAAGTTTTTGTGATTGTTCTGCATTGTGATTGTGATTGCACTGGCTATTAGATCGAGGTTTACCGAATTTTTACTCAACATTTAGCGCCAACTGGTGAGCGCTGAAGCGGTAAGAGGACTCATATTTGCACATCACAGGGTGGCGTCACTTTCGAGTTAGGCAATGCGCGCACGGGTGACTTTTTGTTACCGTGACAGTATCATTCTCTTTTACGCTTTTATAAAGAGAAAAGAGAGAACGTAGTACTTATTCTTATCTACAGGGTGTTAGGTAAATGGGTATATGAACCGAGACTAGCCCATGTTAACATACTCATATAAATACTATAGTGGTGTCAGAAAGTGGATATCGTAATATTTAATAAAAANGTTTTATAGGTATTGTAAACAAAAACCTAGCGATCGTGCGTAACCGAACGACGTCGGAGTCTCAGACGATGTACGCCGAGCAGGAGACCGACGAATTGATCGCCATGCTGCGTGAGACTGAGAGCCTGGACGAGCAGGGAGACATACTGCAGTACCTGGTCGACACGCAGGGACTTGATTTTAACACAGGTTTGTAAGCAGCTTTTTACCAAAAATTATATTAATTTATCACACACACAGGCAAACACGGTAATAGTGATGCATAGTTTTTATGTCAGCTAGCACCATTTCGAATTGCTCCAACTGTCACCTTCAGAGAGCTGGGCAAGGTTGAAAAACAGCGCAGCCCGGGACTTGCTCTCGAGGCAGCTTGAGCTGAACCTCATGGCCTTTTGTTTCCTGTATTTTATTTTAATTTTGGTTGTGGGAAACAATAAATGATTATTATTTATTTATCTAATACACTGACGCCCGTATTCACAAACATTGAACACGAACCAATCACAGAGCTCTATTCAACGCTGTGAGTTCGATTTACTGCTTCACTTAAGCAAGCATCGTTTGTGAATACGGACGTGACCCTGGTGGCTGACAAATGTGACTGACACCCGTATTCACAAACATGAGGTAGGTACTATGAGGTCTCACAGTGCGCGTGGACGCACAGGGTCCCAAAAACCTATTCATAGATAATACTTGAGTGAGTGCGAACCGCGCTAGCTCAAATCAACGCTGTGCGTTCGACTTCGCATAGCGTTGTTGAAAGTATCGTTTGAGAATACGGGTGTGAGTTTCTTCCACCACTTAAATTGTTCTCAGCATTAGCTGAAATGTTGTAGGGCAAGCTATATTTGGAACGTGTATAGGCGCCCTGAAGGGGCCTACATACTTTGAATTTGCATAATCTAGCCCAGTGCAAAAGAGCTTGAACAGACGATAGCCTAGACCAGTTGCAAATCAAGACTTATTTATCGACTAGACAAGATGTTAAAGATCTGATGTGCCGTCGTCCATTATAAACTTGATAATTAATAGGCCTATTTAAATACAAAAGAATCATAATTTTTGTAATCATTACACAAACAAAACTAATATTTGCCTAATGTCATAGTTCAAAGCTTAACGATAAACTATGTTTATTCCGATCCGGAGCTCGGATAAAGTAGCACGCCACTTCCTAAACAAGGTCACGGATTTCGTTATGTTTCCGATTTCGACATCGAGTTGTATAAAAAGGAATATCTGCATTGTTTACGTGTGATTAAGATTATCCTTTGTTAGACCATCTTTCAAATGTAACGCACAACCTGGTAATAAGCTACCATTGTTTTGTTTAAGTGTTTTTCAGTTGACATGAAACTAAAACACATAATTAAATTGTTCTCACAGGAATGCTAGAAAACGGCAAAAACGTGACAGTAAAGGACTTACTCAAGGTGTTATACGAGAAGGCCTGCACCCAGAAACTTTGGGGCCTCGTGAGACATACGGCCGGCATGCTTGGCAAGCGAGTGGAGGACCTCGCTAAGGCCGTGACAGACTTGCTGGTGCGACAGAAACAGATCACGGTGGGCATGCCGCCTAACAACGAGCATACTATCACGGCGCCGCTGCCGGAGAATGAACTTAGGCAGCTCATCCATTTGGTACGTATGTCAGATTTGAACTTCAATATACCTACCTCCTTGCTCGTGTTAACTTGACGTATATTTCGTTCTTACGCGTTCAGAGCGTTATTTGTTTTTTGCTAGAGTGTACTTCAATCGCTGCATCTATTGCTGCGGTAATATCACTACTATAAGAGCTAGTGACAGCACATCAGGCTATACATTTTTCTTCCAGTCACCCCTATGACAACGAAATAATGTTGTTACTGTATGTTTAAAACGAATAGGTCTAAACAATTGTCCCTCTGATGACGTGACACTTAAGTTATGGATTATCACTTTATAGAGATGTATAATCACGAATCTCCTCATCTGTTGAGCAGAGTATTTCCTAATCTTACGTTGTATAAAATTTGTTACATGCAGACATTTCGTCACGAAAAGAATGAGCACAGACAGGTAATGGTGGCTTATACTACTGCTATAGTTTTTATTTTATTATTATTTTTAAAATTATTTTCATACTTAAGTTTCGGAAGAATGCTGCATGGTTTTTAGTTTAAAAAAAAATGTAGAATCACGCATTATAATAGGTAAGTACCAAAAACGCAGAAAAGTTTTACTTTAGAAATAGGTTCATATTTTACCACTCATCTAATTCAAACAGGGCCGTAGTGAGTATTGCCCAAACCTACCTAGTTTTACTCCTAATACTTAGTTTTATAAAAGAAAGTGATTAAGTTTGTTGACTATTTTCAACAGGCGTATGGAGACGACGAGAGTACGGCCATGCTGACGCAAGAGCTGCTGGTATATTTGGCCATGTTCATCCGCACGGAGCCGCAGCTATTCCTGGAGATGTTACGTCTCAGGGTGGGGCTTATTATTCAGGTAGTTATCAGTTATTGTTTTATTATGTATGTTTGTACAAAAATCTTCGTATGTACAGTTTAAACTAAAGATCGTTTCATACTCGAGGACATAACGCTCGGATTGGTCGAATCAAACTCCCCGCACCACGCGATTCCCTCGACCGGGGAGTGGAGGGGCGCGTCTTCGTGGATGAAGCGATCTAAAAATGTTCAATGGATTTTGTTTTCTATGTCTTTCGTAATAAGTTTCAAAATCAAATGAACGAGCTGATTGTTTTATAATAAGTCGATAATTATAGTGGTGAATTTAAATTTAAATGTTGAACTTCGTTAATCTCCCTTTGCCATACGCTACTGCAGTGTGAACGGTCATGTAAATCTCTATTGAAAATGAAAAATAATTTATTGATTAATAAATCATGGTTACATTAACGCTGAGGCCACCCAGTACGTAATCTTGTGTTGCAAATGATTCACAATATTAAATTAGGTACTCGGTCCCAAGTTGTTTACAATGGTTAACCTATTATGTGACATGAACCTTTTATCGTTAAAAATTCTCATTAAAAACTCGTCACTGAAACATTCTAGGTGATGGCCACAGAGCTATCTCGCACTCTCTCGTGCAACGGCGAGGAAGCATCTGAGCACTTGCTCAATTTGTCTCCGTTTGAAATGAAGAATTTGCTCTACCACATTCTCAGCGGAAAGGAGTTTGCTATCAACAGTGGTAAGTTATTATTTTTTAATTATAAAAAAGTCCCAATACTGCTTTCTTAGGCCGGGTTTCCACCAAAGCGGAGCGGAGTGGAGATGTGTTTTGAATAACCAATCAGATTTTATGATTTCCACGATGATTCCATGATTGTCTATAGAAAAATTGGTCCGCCCGATACATTTCTCTTCTCCGCTCTGCATTGGTGGAAACCGGGCCTTAAGTTCAGTATTTTATTTTTATATTGTCAGATCAAATGTTACAGTCCTATCGAGGTTAACAGATTTGGGAAAAAATCAATGGCCTATTAGATTTCCCAATTTTATTATTCTATGTACTATCACTTATTTCCTTTGCAGCAAATTCCCTGCATTTTGTTAAGGAAAAAATCAACAAAAGTAAAGGCGAGTCCTGTGTCACATAAGATAATCTTCTTCATGTATGGTTTTGTACCCTGTGATGATCCTTTAATGTACATAATTATTCGTGTACCTTGTCTGTATAACAGATATGTATTATTACTTGTTGTTATATGTTCAAGTTTAGAATGAGATACCTTGTGAAACATTTGTTCTGTCTGATTTTTTCCACCTTTTACCATACGTTTATTCGATTCTAATACTAGCATTCCCTATTTAGAGAAGATAACCTTGTAATTTGTAACTAACTTCATCAAATTAATCTCCAAAAAACCAAATAAACTAATTTTCATTGTCTGTCCTATCCTTTAAAACTGCAACAACAATAAACATTTGAAATATAATAATAGGTTCATTTGTTTGAATGCTTACATTTCCGCAGTAGGTCGCGGCGGCAACTTTTCCATCGTCAGCAACAAGTCAAGCCGTTACGGCAAGAAGTCACAAATCGTTTTGGAGGGCCAATCGCTTCAGGGCACTATGGATGACATGAGTGAGTAGCCATTCATTGCTGAACACAGCAATTTTATGTTGTAAAAATACATTGAATGAAAAAGCATAATTAGCATTTTATTGATTAGTGTATCTCTGAAATGTTTATCAGTAAATAAACAATTAATTATGTTTGAGAGAAGGTTATCTTTTCTCAGGTTAATTGGCAAGATTTCTACACTTTATTTATTGGTTCTTAAAGAGGAAAGATTTGATTGTTTGTTTGTTTGTATTGAATAGGCTCCGAAACTACTGGATCAATTTGAAAAATTCTTGCACCATTTGAATCCTACATTATTTCTGATAAATATAGGCGGTACGTTGTTTGTCGGGACAGCTAGTAAACAAATATTTCCCTTTTTATAGCACCTATAGCAGAGCCGGATCGTCAGGGGCAATGGTTGCGCCGGCGCAGACTGGACGGGGCCCTCAACAGAGTGCCGCGAGACTTCTATCCTCGTGTATGGGGTGTCTTGGAAAAGGTACGCTGAAAAGTTTATTTTTATTTTTAATTTGCTTGTCACATGGTAAATACAGATTACTATCATTGTTGTTCTTATCGCACCTATCACCATAGAGTTGCAACTGTGCAGTTTACTCAGAAACTTACTTAGTTCATAAGGTTGCTAAAGTTGCTGTTAAGTCCAAGTGTAAGTTAAGAAACTTACTTAGTCTTAAGGTGATGCCTTGCGAATATTGGGCGTTTTAAAGAAGCGCAGAATTAGTTTTAATCGTACTTTTCTTATTACTTAATTATGTTCTTATTCTGAAATATGTCATAGTTGACTAATACATCTAGTGTCTGGTCGAAGCCGAAACATGAATGGAAACAATTTTCTCGATAGAAAAAAAATCCAAAGATGACCCTTCTATTACTCGGTTTTTCGTTTTATAAGCAGATAGGCTAATATTTCAATACCAAATTTTGTATATTGGTAAGGTAATAACATATTCTAAGTACTGGTCGAGTTATTTTCTTTAAATAGTGTTTGGTTTTTCAATAAATACATGATTTCCGATTTTTGTCGCCTCCGTTATTTTATTCCGCGCCGCGCGCGCTATTGCTGTCCCTTTCCTCGCACTGAGAAATCATATTTCTATCCCTCTGTGTGCGAGGCCGAAAACTTTTACGAGGTAGCGCCTTAAGATTACGAGGCTTTCTTTCTCAAGAAAATAGAGTAGCAAAAACGTATTTTGCTATTTTTAGAACTAAAGAATCACTATAGTAACCACTGAGAGTGAAGAACTTAATTTATTTGCAACTAGAGGGTTTTATTTTTTTTTCACAGTGCCAAGGCCTAGTGATCCAAGGCAAGGTTCTGCAACCGAACCTGACGCAAGAGATGACGTCAGGCGAGCTAAAGTTCGCGCTGGCGGTGGAAACAGTCCTNAGGCCTTTGTTCAAACGATCATAGCAAATGTTGTGATAGGGATAGAGACATGCGATTTTTGGTTTTACAAAGATAATACGATGGAGAATAATACAAAGTAATAAAAACCACCTGTTATTGGGGCATTTTTTGGAGAAATTTATAAAATAACCAAAAAAACACGAATTTAAAAGCAGATTTTTTTCAAAAAGTATCATTTTTTATTATTTGTTGGCCTTTTTTGTGTATTTTATGTACTTTTTTAGTATCGCCTTTTATTTAGCATTATTACTGTTTTTATTTTATTAGGATATACCGCTTAGTTTAAAAGTTATTACGTTTTCTTTACAATAAGTAATTGGAAGAAAAAAAATTCTATAAAAAAATTAAAAAAATCTCAAAAATTTTTTGACCTCTTTTTTGTCGATAAAAATAGGTCTAGTTTCATCTATTTTCATATGTACACTTTAACGTGACTCACACTGTATAGGAAGTATTATAAATGGAAATCATCAAAAGCCATCAATCAATCATCAAGCGCATTTTATTCAAGAACTTACTATCTTCAATAGGGTTGCTAGTGTTTATCCTAAGATAACGAGGACTTTACGCAATTTTAGTTTAATTTTATTAATTTAAAGAAACTTGACTGAGAGTGATTAACTCAACATTTTTATTGCAATTATAGCATCCACTTATTGTAAGAAATCTACAAAAACAGCTCATTCATAAATCCTTTTTCTACCACAGTGCCAAGGCCTAGTCATCCAAGGCAAGGTTCTGCAACCAAACCTGACGCAAGAGATGACGTCAGGCGAGCTAAAGTTCGCGCTGGCGGTGGAGACAGTTCTCAACTCGATCCCGCAACCAGAGTACCGCCAGCTCGTGGTGGAAGCACTAATGGTGCTGACGCTGGTGGTGGAGTACCGCGCCGTGAGCTCGCTGGGAGCTGTAATTGGGGTTGAAGCGCTCGTGCACAAGGCCAACCAGATATTCCTGGAGGATCAGGTCGGTATTTTCTCGGTGGTATGTTCTGTACTTGAGGCAGAAGACCGAAGGTCCAATTTTCCCCCCATAGTTGGTGTAGCACATAGGTCATACGTCATCGCATCAACATTTCTCCACTGCACGCGCCGCGCGTCCGAACTAACTGGCACGAAAGGCAGCCGCGAGTAGTATTTACTTGCGCCGGCGATCGGTGTCGTCATATGCGCAAGAGCAGCGGCATGATCAACCCGTATGAGTATTTTGTGAGGAAGAAAGCTACGAAGAACCTTAAGCAAAGTAAAGCCTGGTCCGTGAGCACGTAGAATTTGGTCCAATGACCCCAAGCTACCCATCCTTATCGCTCGCGCGTAATTATATTGCTGTTGCGACTGTGCGACGGGCGCCCGCAGTGAGTGTGCGAGCGCGACAGCAACATAATTACGCGCGAGCGATAAGGATGGGTAGATTGGGGTCATTGGACAAAATTCTACGTGCTCACGGACCAGGCTTTAGAAGTTTTCGCTGGCGGTGGAGACCGTCCTGAACTCGATCCCGTAACCAGAGTACCGCCAGCTCGTGGTGGAAGCACTGATGGTGCTGACGATGGTAGTGGAGTAGCGCGCCGTGAGCTCGCTGGGCGCTGTAATTGGGGTCGAAGCGCTCGTGCACAAGGCTAACCAGATATTCCTGGAGGATCAGGTCGGTATTCTACGATGATACGCGTGTTCTGTGTGTAGGAAAAAGAACGAAGGTCATATTTTCCCCCATAAGGTTGTGCTCGCTACCAAGCGGGTTTTGTGAGCAAGGCAACTCAAAATTTCTCAGCAGAGAACTCTACCTATATTTTCTAAATATTGACTGAGTTGATTATTGTTATTATAAATAGTGTCCACAGAGGCGAAACACACCATGCGATGACGTAGACCTGCGCCTACCTCGCCGCGCTCGATTTATCGCGAAGCACACTGCACCGTGAATCGGTATTTATTGCTTACGATCTAAAGTGCAATTTCCTTCATCAGATGCGCGTGAGCGGCGACGCGACGCTATGCTGCGCAAAGGCGGACAGCTTCGGTGGCGCGCTGGTATGCGGCGGCGCGGCCGGCGTCTGCCAGCACCTCTACGACAGCGCGCCTAGCGGGTCCTACGGCACCATGACCTACCTGGCGCGCGCCGTCGCCGCGCTGCTTGCCGATCGCCTGCCGCACGCCGAGCCCATACAGTGCGCAATCACGTAGGCACGCAACTGACGACGGCACGCCAGATAGCTCCTGGGGCTAGGGTTGCCAGGCGTCCGGATAAATCCGGACATAGTTAGGCTTTTTGATTGCGTGTCCGGCCAAAATAACCGATGTCCGGCCTGTCCGGCTTTTGNCTACGATAATACGCGTGTTCTGTGCGTAGGAAAAAGAACGTAGGTCATATTTTCCCCCATAAGGTTGTGCTCGCTACCAAGCGGGTTTTGTGAGCAAGGGACCTCAAAATTTCTCAGCAAAGAACTCTACCTAGGTTTACTAAATATTGACGGAGTTGATTAGTGTTATTCTAAATGCTGTCCACGGAGGCGAAACATACCTTGCGATGACGAAGACCTGCGCCTACCTCGCCGCGCTCGATTTATCGCGAAGCACACTGCACCGTGAATCGGTATTTATTGCTTACGATCTAAAGTGCAATTTCCTTCATCAGATGCGCGTGAGCGGCGACGCGACGCTATGCTGCGCAAAGGCGGACAGCTTCGGCGGCGCGCTGGTATGCGGCGGCGCGGCCGGCGTCTGCCAGCACCTCTACGACAGCGCGCCTAGCGGGTCCTACGGCACCATGACCTACCTGGCGCGCGCCGTCGCCGCGCTGCTTGCCGATCGCCTGCCGCACGCCGAGCCCATACAGTGCGCAATCACGTAGGCACGCAACTGACGACGGCACGCCAGATAGCTCCTGGGGCTAGGGTTGCCAGGCGTCCGGATAAATCCGGACATAGTTAGGCTTTTTGATTGCGTGTCCGACCAAAATAACCGATGTCCGGCCTGTCCGGCTTTTGTTAGGCTTTTTATTTGGCTACCGCGCCAGGCGAAAGACGAGCCACAGAATAAGGCACGCACGCATCAGGACGTTAGGCAACCGATGATGATAGTACTCACTCGCGAGCTCCATCACGCGCCATCACGTTGGCACCCGGCAACTGACGACGGCACGCCGGATGGCTCCTGGGGCACCGTGACCCACCTGGCGTGTGCCAACGCCGAGCCCATACAGTGCGCCATTACGTAGGCACGCGGTAACTGACGACGGTGCGCCGGATAGCTCCTGGGGCACCGTGACCCACCTGGCGCGCGCCATCACGTAGGATGTTGCCTCAGACTTAGAGCTCGTCCAGATGACGCGTTTTAACGCTCGTGATCGAGGTTCTTAGACAACACGCGCGACTACATGTGGAATGTATGAACCTCTCTTCTAGTATCTAACGAACGCGCGAGTAACACAGCTCTCAATAGTCACCGTTCCTATCAGTACGGCGGGTCTAGACAACTGGCACTCTTTGACAACTCCGAAAATCGATTCCCTTCACGGAGAGAAGTACCTAACTCTAAACAAAAAATGCCGGAGCATAAGCCTTTCGAAATTACAACTGTCACGTTTTGCCATTTGTCTAGGGGGCTGGAGCTCGATGTAGCTCTGGCTACATAGTAGTACCCGTACCTATTAGTACCGGAAAACATAATATGCCGTCGCGTGGAGCATTAAGTTTAATGTAGTAGATAATTTAGGCTGTAGCAACTGTTCCTAGTGTGTAGAGAATATCGCCTAAAGTGGCTCATCAGGATGCTTAGTATTAACCGTTCCTATTGATACCGAAACCCATACGGTGCCCTTACACGTAGAACATACGCCTGATGGGACTCGGGCTACACAGTAGTAACCGTTCCATCAGTACTGTACCCAACTCTCTTGGCAACGCCGAACCCACATAGTGCGCTTTCTGTAGTGCAGAATAGTTTGGGTTACAAAGTAGCTACCGTTCCTATCGTAGAATATAAACGTTGAAATTATAATGTAGTAAGTATACACTCAACATCAAATAAATCGCAACTTCCGCGACGCGAATTTTAAAGATTTTCTTCTGACACAATCATGGTGCCCCAACAATATTGGTGTTATTTGAAAGCCCAATAAATAAACTTAAAGAAAAACACTTTTTTTTTTATAAACAATTAACAACATAAATGTGACTTGAAAAAAAAAAGCTTCACTTGGGGCTCACCTCTGGGACCAAGTAGACCAATTTTTGTGGCTATAAAACCAAATGTATTATAAGTATGTATTTACAAAAAAAAAAGCATTTAAGTATGTTTATATCCGTTGTCTAGTACCCATAGTACAAGCTTTGCTTAGTTTGGGACTAGAAGCGCAGTGTAAAATGTCCAAAGATATTTTATATTTATTTAAATAATGGTCTCACGTGTCTTCTGTAACAGATGGGTTGCGATTAATCCCAATTTAAAAGTTTTATAGCCATAAAAATTGGGTTAAGCGTAAGCACCTATCTTTTGAAGAAGTGACTCTGGATCCTTCTAAAGACACATTTTTGGGGTAAAAACCTTTCCTTTAATGAAATTAAGCTTAGAACTAGCCTTTCAAATGGTACCAATGTTGTTGAGAAGTGGGGATGCAGACGTTTGAAAAGTGTTTGTTGCGGGAGGTGCGATTTATTTGATGCCGAGTGTAGTATGATTGATTATTGGCCAACCGCAAAAAAACGACCTTTAACTTTACGACACAATGTAATACTTCTCTAGCGCATGTCTTCTCATTTAATTGGGATATAAATATACCAATGCGATATTAAAAATAGTCATCTCAGTAATCTGCCTCCCTTGAGCGCAATTTTTAAGCGCCAAATCAGTACTGATGCAGTATAGAATGACCTCGGACATCGCTTCCACGTGTCACTGACAGTCTATTATTTGTAGACCGCTTATGCAGAGTGCCATCATCACCGAACAACCTGTATTACTACTTAGTAAAATTATTATTAAAAATCAAAATAAAAAATAAGTTATAATTTGAATTGTTCATCAAATATTTTCTCTTTAAATCATAGATTTTCTATATTTTTGTTATAGCATTAGTTGTTGATGATAATTATATTAAGTGTGTTTATTTTTAATGTTCATCATGGTTTGAATCTTGTATCACGTTAGTTACATAAATTGTTGACAATATTTTTTGTGATCCAAGTTTACCTGTATTTTTACTTGTATTTCAAATAAAAACAAATATTTTTTCCCAATGTGTCATTAAACACATGTAAACATAATATTTTTCATGTAATAAAATGATGTATATTAATAATAATAATTATTATTTTATTTTTCTGTTACCAAATATTATCCATTTTTAAAGGGGATCTAAAATAAATAATGGCCTAAAAATAAAAGAACTCATATAAACCATAAACATCTATCTACTTCAAATGTATTGTTACATCTTGTCTAAACAAAACAATTTACAAATCAAAATGTTGTTAATAATCTACATTCCCTAAGCTTCATCCTTCTTGCCAAATGGATTCATTTTCGATAGCCAGGATGTGGTAGTGCTGAAAAAAAGGAAATGTTAACATAATTATGTACTTGATAATGATCTATAAACATAGTCTCAGTATAGGTTTTTGTTTAGAAGCAGTGCAAAACATATTTTATTTAACTATGGGAAGTAGAAAAAACTGGTTCAAATATAGCTTATGGGACTGTACTTACGATATTTCATCTGCCGAGCTCTTGGGACCTTCAATGCCTGCAGCTTTTAATTTCTCTACCAGGTTTTTTCTATAAACATTTTTCAAAGGAATTGGCCTGTTGGCAGCCTCCTTTTGTTTGGCAACTTTACATAGAGCTTCATACCACGTTAATCCATACCAATCAATTTCTTCAGGTGTGTACTGAAAAATAACAAAGTATTTTTATTGAGCTGGAACACAAACAATAATTAAATAAAATCTTTATTTCATACATACTGAAGACAAGTAGGTTTTATATTCTTCATACACTTCTTTCTGTTTCTGAGGATCATATGCATGTCTCGGGCATCCATTCATCAATTCAGTTAGTATTTGCTTTTTCAGTTTCAATGCTAACATTGACACTAAATCACAAGCAGGTGTCTTGAGTAGGTAATGATCAAATCCATAATGATCATTGATCAACCTAATTGTCCGATCAGTGACAGTCACTGAAAGATGGGTGTTCAAAACTTCAGACTTGACCACAGTTCTCTTTAGCACTGGTACCCAGTAGTGTGGCACTCTACGCCTATGTTGGTCACGCTTTTGAAAACCTGTCGCAGAGAGAAATAATGATATTTATTAATTGAAACAGTTAATACATGTGTCAGTTAGTTCTTGGAATGCATTAATTAATTTAATTAGCTAAGTTATGGGTTATATAAAACAGGAAAGATTTTGTAAGCTTGTTTGCCAACCTTTAACAACTGCTTCCCCTCCCCAAATCCCGGCATGGAGTTCAGCCGGATGTTTCAAAGGAATAGGGATGTTTTGTATTGGCAACGTCTCGCCAGTCAGCTCGTCGCGCTTCCATTTGCCTTCTTGAGGTACAAAGTGAACAGCAGCAGGTTTCAAAACCTTCCATTCGCGCCAAAACTTCTTGTATGCAGCAGGCAACTCAGACGCTATACCCAATTCAAATCGTCCTTTTTTCTTGTATGTTTTAGACAACTGTCGCACAGTAGCCTGAAAGAAATTACGCGTTTCAAAATGTGACGTATTATTACATACTGAAAACTGAGACCAGACTAAAAGAACTTGTTTGGTCATACCTGCATACGAGATGATGCCATTTAATTATTTTTCAATATAACACATAAGATAGTAATATTTTAGGGATAAACTGAATCAATTTCCGTAAAATATTTTGCAAACCTAACCAATTTGTGAAGGATGATGAAACTGTCAATTTTTACTGTCAAGTTTTTGACATATCAAGTTTCGTTCAGAAACAGACAATCAGCTGAAAACATCATTGAACGGTAAAATAATTTTTGCGTTTGTCAGAAAGGCATGTCAGATGACGTGTAAAAATGGCAAATGACAAGTTAGTGCCAAGTGGTGGTGGCAAATTATTTGTTTATTGTGGATTTTCTGTGTAAATTGCTTTCTTATCCTTTAAATTTATTTAATGATACGATTCCTGTAGTTAACCAAGCGAGACAACGTGTATTTGTTATTCATGTACGCAGAGAATAGTAAGCCATGGCGGATGATCAAAAAGTCGATAAATCCCTTGAAGGGGAACCATTGGATGATGTCGACACAAATATAGCAGTATCCTC